TTTTTTCCGCTATCAGCCAATGTCACAATGTGTCTTTCATCACGTCGTCTATCTTACTGCCCCATATATATGCATATAAATGGGCTTAACTACTCCAACTACGCGTTCGTCATCAGCTGTATCTGCAATCCAGGTGATCCAAGCTATTTGTCGATTTCGAGATGTACATACAAGACTCGTCTGGCATATACCAGGACAGATTTCTGTGGGGAGTTCAACACTTGCCACTCGATCTGTGCGGAAATGCTCACGGCATTTCCGTAAAATGCACCCCTCGAAAATTAGGCTTACCCAGGAGAATGAGGCTGTAAGAACAGCCGGGCTGGGGCAACAAGAATGTGGGAACTCGAACTACGTTTTGGTGTCACGACTTCAAGGCTGCACGCTAACATGCGGGATTGCCTGTCTTGGTGCGTGCCCTTTACGATGTACGTGTTTGCTTTTGTGCGTATCTGTGTGCTGTGCCCGCGTAGATACGCAGACTTCGTGTAAGCCGCTCTACCATCGCAAATAGCAGCATGAAGCTAGATACTTGCTCTGCAGAATGTAGGGAATTTACCTGGCCTGATAGGAGGCAATAGGAATCCCCTCTCCCGTATCCATGCTGCTGTTGTGGTGTTTCAGACTACCGGTTTCGGGTCGGATCCTGCTTTTAGACACTATAAAGTGAAGGAACACAGAAGGACGGAAACTAGAACGGGATCGACCAAGTTAAGAGGAAGGAATTGAAAATTCAGGTCAAAGCTGACGCAGTCTCACTGCCGAGGTTGTAACCATCCATACCTCTGCCCTAGTAGCCGTTAAAAGTACAACAAGGCTGTTTGAATCACTAGAGACAGACTGACTAACCAGGCAAATGCAACCCTCTTATGAGCTAGAAGTTCAGAACTATTGTCCTCGAAATGAAGCTGCTCGCTACGATTATATAGGTTAGGTCGGCGAATCCTTCGGTATCGCCCGTGGTGGAAAACGACAAGAAGACTGTTTGGAGGACTGGCTGATTAGCGGCGGATAGGTGAGCACTGGTCGTTCTACCATTCGACCTGACAAGCACCCGATTCCGTGCCGCTGGCAATAGAAGCGCCGTTGATGTTGAGTCGTGATCCCTGTTACAATCGTCTGACGTCTACTTCGACGTATAGCCACTCCCTAGATCAACGAATTGCCGCCAATGCAAACGCGCCAGTAACAAGTAGAAAACAACTACCTAACTCTTCTGTTAGACAATATCAGGTTCTGTAGAACTATGAAATGTTAGCGGATTATATTTAAACTGAAAAATTATCGTCTACTAGTCGTCCAAACCTTAACTTTCGTCTTTAACTTTGTTCATACCATCTAGCTACGTGTTGCCTTAATGATCTTAGGTTTTCCACTTTATTTTATTAAAGCTCTGATAAAGCCCAACAATTCTTTGTTATTTCCCGAAAAGTATTACAATGAACTAAATCTCTATAGATTAGAGCACATTTAACGCAACGCGTCTGTGGGTACTACAACTTACAATCCGTATTTATTAATGTGATATCGACTCTATCGAGTTCGACCAACCCTACACATCCCAACATCGGTGCCGGATACAGTATTGTATGAAATCCGTTGCTTTTCCGCTGGGGCATTTGAGCATTGGTCTCCCAATTACTCTATGTTAGATACAGACATGCAACCATCTTGGTAGTATCTTGATGAAATGCCACCGACGAGGACAGGTCGGGGGGGGAGGCACTGCTTTCAAGGTCAAAGTAAGCACTTAGGTAAAAACGGATCAACACATAGAAGCAGCACACGAGTGGGCAATTGCTTACTAACAAGTTAGAGGTTTTACCTTACTATGTGATTACGCTATAGGTATATGTTTATTGCACTATAAATAGATACCAATGACAGTACCAGGAGTAGGTTTGTGTGTCTGTCTTTTCAGGTCGTTTCGAAAGCTAATCGTGGCCTCAGTTTGTGGGATGGTCGTCTGCCACGCTACTTCCGATCCTCCGATTGAGTCAAGCAATGGTTCGTGCTTTGTTGCCTATAGAAAGCACCGTCTGGCGTCCTGACGTCTCCTAGGTCGCATGACCCATTATACAAAACGCTAGATGCGGGACGCCAGTCGATCGATGCAATGGCATTCTTTCCAAACATATACATAAACTTAAGGCTATACCTGATCAGAGAGAAAGGCCGAGCGGCAGAACGACCGTGTGGGCCGTTGATGGGCGTCGTACACGTATACAGCTCGATGGACAACGTATCGCGCAAGACAAGATGCGTACATTTCTGAATGTGTACGTGCGTGTGCCAGCTGATTAACTGTAATCAAGAATCTTCAGTTTTTCGAGTGACGCTAGCATATTGCCCTACCGACAACTTTCATCGTTCAACGATACGATATCTATTTGCGAAACCTATCTCCTTATTCCAAGTAATCTTATTGAAGTAACGATCCATTGTTTACGGCGCCCCATTCAAGCACTAGGTTAGCTGACACCGAATGTAGCAGACAGAATTCAACATCTGTAGCATAATATGACAACAATAATGATAAAAAAAATGTCTGTTACAGTAGAAGAGGCGAACTCTTTAACGGCAAAGATAGACGGGCCTGCTTAATAGAACATATGCATATGTTCTATTTTTTTCCACAAATAATTACTGGAAACGTCACAAATAGATTCTATCATTGATCTCACTGTCATTACCTTACATACTACATACTAACTCATACTACATCGTAAGCTCCACATTGTTAGGCTAAAGCTCGTACGAGGGATCTCCGTTTCAAGAAAGCCACCGACCCCTAGAATTGTTTTTTCTAGTGTGCTCACTATGCTGATGAGGATGACTTTGTACCAAATGATTAAAAACAAAAAAGGTAACGCTAACGTTTGGTCTTGCATCAGGTAACTTGTTTCAATACGTTGCATAGGCACTTAACATGAAATATGGGATCCCAACAACAAAATGTGCTTAACTAGAGTAATTTATTTAGCATATTTTTAAAACAATTTGTGGAACAGTTCCGCACGACCAATCAGTTTATTAACAAGCTCGGTTAATTGGCACTTTACTTAAACAATACAACCCAAAATTCAGAAATAGACCTACACTAGAGGTGTCCAAATATATAGCACGATCAAAAATAATATTTAGATGTGATCTCAAAATCGTTGTTCTGACAGCCGTTAATACAGTCTTATTTAAAATCACTTAGTTTGCCTTCTGCCCTCAGCCTTGTTAGGGGTCATTGCCACATGCCTCTATGTACTATTTTCTGGGGCTTTGGCTTGCGACAGCCTTTCTGGTTTTGTGTTCGGTTACAATCGGCTTCGAAAGGACAGGAATCTTACTCGCTGCTTGAGGAATATTGCTAACATGCTGATCGTGGTGGATCTAGACTAACTCGGTGGTCAGGATCACAGTTAATAAGGGTGAACCGATTGTTGCTTCGGCGATACATAGCTTTTTGCCCCAGCCCCCTGAAAAGCTCTAATGCAACTTCAGACACGCTTCGTTTCATGGGCGAAAGGCCTGGAAACTATCCTTGGACGACGTCGGGGTGTATTCCGCTCTCAATATACGTCAATGTCAGCCCCTGCATCGCGACGCCCGTCGGTTCGGAGTTGTCATCGAGTTGTCTTAGGGATCGTCGTGTATGAAAAATTGTTCCACAAATGAATGAATTGCTGTACTTTGCCTAGCATCCAGTTTGACAAGTCTCCTCAAACCACTCTTCATGGAATCTTGTCAACGCCACTCGCGCGTAGTGGCTAACGCTGGCTTACTACTTAGATAAAGTAAAGGTTAGCATACGAAGATATGTGCACGTCGGGCAGAGCCTGAATGAGAGATTCGATGCAATATCAGCGACGTGTGGTGCCAGTATGACAATAATCGGGCTCTGATATGGAGGGTAGATTATCTCTGACACTAGAAATCAGTATAATTACCTACTAATGCTTAACAATCACAGAGGCTAGATAGCCATCATAGACAATGACATCTCCTAGCAGTGGGTATTGTACGCGGCAGACTGCTGTTATTATCGGGTCACACCATCGTCTGCAAAGGCATCGACGGGCCCAAATAAATGAGTCATACAAGGAAAGACAGAGACTAAAAAAGTCGAATTGCAAATGGCCGCTGCGCAGACAATGGGCTCCAGAAAAATAGAAGGACCACTAAAAATCATCATTTTTATACGCTCAAAATTTGACTCATCATTGAATGCGTGATTTTCTCTATGGGAATGAATTATGTGAAAAGCGGGATCGGCGTAATTAATATTGTAGTTGCCATCACAAATGATTGTCCATATTCATGGCAACCATTTCTCTCATAGGAGGAACAATTACATGTCGATCCATTGCAGTGGTACGCTATTTAAACGCTTGTTCGGAAAATGAAGCCGTGGGATTCTATCGCGCATGAAACGGAAAGTATACCGTGCTTGTTTTCATTACTTACGTAGTCGTCAGCTATTAGGATCAACAGCATCAAATGAAGTTAAAAAAGGGAAAGACAGTTATTCTACCATCTTATTGTCTTTAATTAGTGTGATTAATTATTGTGAGTGAATTAGTTTTTTACTCGATACATATAGAACGTTGGTGGGGAACGATCAGCTCACTTATATATCGAGCCGTCTATTCCTATGCTATGCCTTATTTGAAAATGACGAGGTCCATAAACATTTGCTACTGTGCATTTCAGATGCAGTACGGCAGCTGCATAGAAGTCTTCCATTAAATAATACCAGCCTAGGGTGGCCAGCCGAATTACGAGCAAATCTGTGACGATCTAAAACGCACTAAAGATCTAATATGGTCAGCTGGTTCCGGCCGACCAGACAGCGTTACTGTTGTTATTATTATATACTTTGTTTTTGTACAATAGACGTTATTCTGTTGAAGACCTAGCTTATCTTGCTTCCCACTTTAGCTTTTTGATCATTATATTCATCTGTCCCGTACTTTTTGCTGTGGTATGATGCCTCGTTTATTTTCCAGAATTCGATCCGGCACAACCTATCTTTACATAATCGCTTCATGCGGGTGCAGAATGAAGGCGCGGGAAAGAGCTCATGGTGGATGATCAACCCTGATGCTCGACCCGGGAAAGCTGCTCGCCGACGCGCTACTTCAATGGAGACACCGAAGTTCGAAAAGCGGCGCGGCCGTGTCAAGAAGAAGCTCGACCTAATGCGTGCAGCTAATGCGGGCCACACGGTAGGTGGCATCGGCTGCGGGGTTGCGAACGAGGCGACTCCGTCACCGAGTTCGTCGGTCAGCGAAGGCCTGGACATGTTTCCAGACTCACCAGTGCTCAACAACAACAACAACAATAATAACAACAATAACAACAGCAGCTCAACCTTGGGCGGGGGCGGGGGAGGCAGTGGCGGTAATGCCACGTTCCAACTCAGCCCCGATTTCCGACCCCGCGCTTCGTCAAATGCCTCGTCATGTTCACGGTTATCGCCGATACCGGCACTCGAAGCAGACAACCAGGCGCCGCTATCTCCGATATCATGGAACAATGATATGGTATGGCAGACGATGAAGTTTTCACTCCAGAAAGTTGAAGTGTGTTTGTTTTTATATATATATATATATATATATATATATATATATATATATATATATATTTCTGCTTAAACATATTAATTTCTATACGCTTGGTTAAGCGTCAAGCAGCTAAGGAACTATGCAAACGAGTATACTTGCCACTTGCAAAATTCATGTGGGATCAGTTGTTCTACTAACGTAGTTTCGTTCGTAATTGGATGGGTGTAATTCATAGGTGAGCATGTATAGTACAGGGGGCCCGACAGCTGCCCCAGCATACGCGGCCGATTTGGACAATGTGAAGTTATGCGACTCAATCGCCGAAGCAATGACTATCAAGGACCCTCTACCACTAAATACAAACGCAACTTATACCTCGTTTTACAATAGTAAGTTCCTTTTCATTCTATACACTGGCGTTAGTCTATCGACGGGCATCGATTAGAATAATCGTTAGTTTTTCTAATTACTTCGTCTTACAACATTACAATAGGAAACAACAAGACAGACTTGAGAAAGTCTGTCTTGTTGTTTCCTGTTGTATTCTGTTTTGTCGTACTTAAAAGCCATACCATGTTTGTTGTTGACTATATAACTATCATTATATTACTAAGTGGCGCCGCCAGCAACGATTTGACACGGTCGATCTGTAGGAAGTACTGTGACTTTTTCGGCAACAACTTAAACTAGTAATTCATTCTTATGGTAACTCGAGCTCTTTATCTTAACAAATCCTAAGATTTGCGTGCATCATCACTATTTGGGTCTATGGGACCAGAATAGCGGGATTATCTTTCTTTAAATATAATGTCAGTTTATTACTAACATTAAATAGCACGGGTATCTCGGCCAAAAATCAGTAGCCGGTTAATGATCTACAGAAAACTAAAAAGTAATGACCAGATAGGTGACTCACTAAGCCCTTTCCCATTTTGTGTCCTTTATTCGGACAAACAGACAGTTTGACGAAGGATTTTGGCCAGCCGTCGCTATTTTTTTTTTTTCGCAGACAAAAGAGGGCAGCAACAGTTTCGGAAAACCGTCGACCAACGACGACCTACCTCCGTTGATAGTAATCATAGATACTGAGCTAGTTTTTAATCTTTACATAGGCATATTAAAACGAATAGGTCGCGAACGGAGAGTTTTGTCATGCCAAAGAGATAACGTCTTTCATATTTATCTACTATGTAGCGTCTACATGTACAAAGTATTTGCCATGGACGTTGTTAGCCTTTTGCCGTTCATAGGCAGAAAGGTTGTATTTACCTTTGGTACCTAAAATGGTATTGTCTCCTCGTGCCTCTACAGTATAATTGCTGAATCTATTGATTAGCGTAAGTATCAGACGAACACTGCGCTTTGCTCATCCACCGCTGAGAATGACTACTAGGTTTCTAACAGGGACCTGTTGAATGTTAAACTTGGTGCTGCTTTTCGTATTGGAAGACCTGACCGTTTCAAACGGTTTGTTCGATCACGCTAGAGGGACCACGCTAACTAAAGTAGAGTCGCTGATCAGAGCTACCTTACAGCGCAGGACCGTCGGGACCATTCGAACCCAAAGTTCCATTTTTCGGCTTGCAAATTTTATCATATTTTCCCTATTATTCGTGTTAGGAGTGTCCTGCCTCACTTCCACCGGACAAATACAAATACAGGCGTTCTATACATTTGTTTTTTTGTTAATGCGTATTGATTAGCTAATTATAACATATACAGGCCGAAGTACGTCTCTCGACAGTGTGACCTCCTACACTTACTTTTTACTTTTGGATAGATGTAAAATGCGTACTGTCATACTATAAAATGTCATTTGCCAGGTAACGTTTGTTCTACCCTGCACAGATATGGTAATATTATTTTTTCCATCTGTTTAGTCTAAATGAAAGATATGCTAGTATCTATAATTTAGACGGCAGGTGATCTTCGCATATGAATGAGCATGAATAAGCGCAGTATGCCTAAAGTCAGTCTTTCTGCGTGACTAAACAAGCAATAGATAAATCGTAGTCGTACCTGGTTATTTTTTGCAACTCTGGATAAATCAAATACCTCGCTAAGTCCTGTTTACGTGGCATCCTTGTTTGTTATGCGCAGATACACCACCTCTTTACACTGAGCTTTCGTCAGCACGATCCCATACCCTGGACAGCGTTGCGAGCGGACTTAGTTTATCCCGAAAGAAACTGGAAGCCCGAGAGGTTGGAGTAGGCTATTGTAATGGGGGGTTGTCGCTATCGGCGGGCGTCAAGCCGCCGCCGACGATTCCCGAGAGTCATGAGCCACCCTCCGTGTGTCCGTCCGGCAGCGCCCCATCTGTGTCTTCAGCTGGAGGCAATCTTCACCCGTTGTCGCCTCTCTCGAGCCTGGCACCCAGCCTCGCGTCACTCTCTCCAATGGCACCTGTCGCTTCGCAGGTGCCTTCCGCTGGGAACCCTCTTAGTCACCTGGTGCAGCAGCAGCAGCAGCAGCAGAGTAAACTGGAAGCAGGCACGGGCTGTTCATTATCGGCCCTTGGCGGTGCGGCCTTGCAGTTACGTAGCCACCTGCCTATTGTTGGTTCAGGTACAGATTGCTCCGACTTGAACCTAGATACCCTGGATACGCTGCAGGACACACTTCAAGGTGGGCTCGAGTGTGACGTTGACCAGGTAAGCAGTGGCCGAACAACTGGTGTACCTGTGTGTAGGTCTAACGTAAACTCCGAAGAACTGACTGAGGTAAAACTCAAATGTGCTCTAAGTCTAAAATGCCAGCTTTGTAGAGAGGACTATGTTTTGGCATCAACGAAATGTATGAATCAAGGTAAGATTCCATCCCATGGTGATATCTCGTGCCTATTTATAATCCAGCCGGTCCTTTTGCTTTTTCTACATCTCATCATTGCAGGTGATCAGGCATGAGTTGAGCGTAGACGGAACTCTTGATTTCAATTTTACCGATTCCGGGACCTCCGTATCAAACCAAGTGCATCTACAGTCAGCGTCGCCGGGTTCACGATCATGGGTTCACTGAGCTCTGCCAGTACTGTTCGTAGATGGTACAGTTCGACGGCAGACAACACATGCTGACTGGATATATGGCGTAACGTGGCCTAGAGTAGCGATCGATCAGTCTGGCTGCCAGAGCCGCCGGGCCCAACGAAATGAAACCGTCCAGCTCGTAAATGCATTGTGTCTTTCGTGGGCATGAATAATCGTGAAAACACCCGTCATGTTTATGATCCACGCCAACGACAAACTTACCTATATACCCATCCTCCCGCGCACGCGTCCGAAGTGTATACCGCATTATCTAGAATCATCTAGGAAGCAGCAAGCAATGTACCGACTCGCGGAATTACCGACCCCTTTTTCGGCGCACAGCGCAACGGACTGACAGCGCGCTTATCTAAGTCTATCACCTACTCAGAAAGCAAAGCCAATCACCGAAGTTGGCCTGTTGAGCCTTATTGGCCTATTGGCAACGTTAAACTTTGTCTCTTTAACAAAACAACAAACCAGGAAAAGGTTGCCTTTTTAGAAAAAAAAAACGTACAGAGAAACAGAAAGTTACTGAGACGCACAGTTATAAGAACAGGCCTCGGAAAGGGTAATCGAGAGCATGGTCGATATTCTGTATTTAGCCAGGACATGATTCTGCCAACAGTCAATCTTACTGGACGCATTCAGAGAAGCAGTTCGAATTGGCCACTGTCTACGGCGGATCATAATATAATAAACAATACCGCGCGGAACCTACCGCGGCTTCGAGCTCTAAGCTTCTAGGCGTGGTGTTCATAGAAAACATATATAGTACCTTTATGATTAGCAGTAAAAAGAAAACATTATTATTGCTCAGACGTCGTAGCAAGCCTCACGACACGAAATGTAAATAATCATTTTTGTATTGCCTCATCCGTCTTCTCTAAATAGGTGTCGCATGCTGTTCTTTATACCTCTGTTTACTAAAGCTGGAAAGCAATTGCACGCCGCGCCGCAGAATGTTGATTCAAAAAGCACCCATAGCTGGAGAACAATTGCGACGAAGGCCGTGCTAGAAATCATGTCAAAACCATTATATGTATGTTCATATACAAGTGGAATACACACACTATACGTGGAAATAACGAAGCTACCTGTTTATTATTACTCCTATATTAGCTAGTACTATGACGTCATTAAAGTACTATTGTACGGGCAAAGCAGCCAGATGAATGGAGACAGACGGCTACTACCTCCCACCCCCAGCCCTTCTCCTCTTTCTATAGCTCACTGTCGCCCATTTCAAAATGTGTTGAAATAATCCCGTTGTTTTTCCTTGTTTGGTTACTACCTTTCATACAGGCTTCCGGTGCTTCCGTTTATTGCTTAGTGGGATATTTAGTCATAACATATGGTCTTCGTTAGCCAATGACCCTATATTGATATTAAGGTTGTTTAAATAGCTGTTAACGAACGATAACGCGCTAAGCCAAGTACGTTTCGGTGGTTCGAATCTTCGGCCCTAACGGGATGAACGCAGAGCAGCTCTCTCTATATATTACATTGTATTTTGCTCTTCGAAAGAGTCTATCAAGACGATATACGAGTCGACGCAGTACACTCCTCAGTCATACAAGCAACTATGACATTGATATATAGATATATCTACAAGTGATATGTATAAAAACAAAATAGATATATACATAATCTGTAGACAAACATATATGTATCCGGATAAATTGCATTGCCTGCTTCGTCAGCTATCCGTGCGCTCATTCAGTGTTTTGTTGTTGTGGTCCGTGTAAGTTCAACTACCAAACGTAAAAATGACAGGACAGTGCATCATATGACACGATCAGGGCGATGGTACTGACTACGATGATATGATTGAGGGGTGCGGCGATAAGGGTGCGTAACACGCTACGAAGAAACGCTTATAGTATATATTCGTTCAGCGCACACACACCAATAATATTTTTCCCTTTTTTTAATTGAAGGACAACAAATGGCCGACTGATAACGTCCTATCTATCCAAACTAGCACTCGTAAATGATATAAAATTTGCGGTACGACAAACTGATCGACTATAGTAGCTAAATACATCGTCGCACAGATGACATGTAAAGACACATGTAAAGAACTGTTGTAGTCCACATGTCACCCGAAGTACGGTAAAATGGCTATGACCAATTAAATAATGATCAATGCACACAATGATTGCTAAATTAGACGGAGACATGTCTGTTTGAAAATGTTCGAAATGGCGTTCTATTTATCTTATAAACTTAATTATTACTTCTCGCCATACGTACCGCTAGCATATCTTTTAGATTTATTTGGCGGTTCGTCTGCATCGCACATTATGTAAGCGATGTCTGATTACACATGTGAACTCAGAAAACCCTGAAAGCCACTTGAGCACGTGTCGCTTGAAGCACTGATGCATCAAGACGCTTTCTCATAGATACATACATACATACATACATACATACACTCATATCCACACGCCTTCAGACACACACACAAACAAAAGTACGTAGTGGTATTGTTGCAACACACAAAAGTTAAGTAGAAAAAGTCAATGTATCGTTAGTCATCAAAAATAAATAATAGCCATATGAGGTTACAGCGGACCAACAGCGGAGTAGAGATCAGGAGTGATAGTCGTGGGAACTATCCACTCGATTACGTACTATGCCACTGCTGAAGATAATGATTATTACTGTTATTATAATCACTACTAATATCTGATTAGTAGAAATACTGTTACCGCTAGAATATTTGTCATTAGTATAATACCTGGTGGCCAGAAGTGCACGCCACTGGTTGGTCTTTAAAGGCATTGAATTTGTGTCTATAAATGGCGAATGCCACTAGCAAACTATAGAAAAGAGAGCACAATTATTCTGGTGGCTCGCTAGGCTAGGTCCGGGTACGCTATGTCGCACGCGTTAACCCTACACGCAGTTATGTATGATAAAACAAAAAAAAGTCTTCTTCATTCACAAAGGTTCGTAGGCTGACTTTGTCAACCACCATTACGCGGATCGTTCTGTCGGATCAGAGAGATTGCTAATTAAGAGTTGCCCTTATGTAGTTTGCAGAGCGCCCGCAAGTTACTTACTTTCTGGAAAGTTGCACGACAAACTCGCGGAAATCACCACATTTCCGTCGTACGCGTTTTTCAAAAACGGCGCTGAATAGTTGTGAGCAGTAAAACCATTTCGGAACAATTAGAGCGATATAAAGGTTCAAGTAAAACTTTTTTGTGAGATTTTGCAAGAGAAAAAAACGTTACATAGTCGTAATGCTACCTTTGAACATTCGACAGCGTAATTTCCAAACTAGGGATCAGCCTCAAAAGTGCGACCTAAATTTCTAAATGCCGGTACACACAGCCTCTGATCATTACCTAAGATAGGATATGACATTTGGAATAGGCTTCATGATGGCACTTGAGTGCGGATCGTATCAGGATACATCCCAGTCAACCATCTCCTGAGCGGCAGGTACGTCTATTTATCTCGGCAAAGATTTTCAGGTCGTCGGCGTATTCATCATATTTAATAGAGACATCCTCAAATAAAAACTTGAATGATCTTAACGGTGTATAGAAGAGGGCCCATGGAATTCCAAATCGAACCCCTGTAGAGGCTGTCAGAGTGTGTCCGGTTGTCATGTCGAAGGAACGATCTGTGAAATAGGTGCGACACCAGTCCATTACTTTGGGTCTCATCTGAGGGGCAGACAGCTTTAAGATGAATAACTTTCTGCGATCCATTGTCAGTGCACGAGAAATACATAGTGTATTATGATGATTTTCTTCCGAATGCCGAGTTGTGGATAATGTCCGGTAGTTGAGTGCAAGTTGACTCCTTTTACATAAACCCACGCTGATTCGGGTTTGGGAGTCCAGACGAGCATAGATGAAAGGACATGTGATCTATGATGATGGAAAATATAGACCCCCTGAATAATGGGACGATAGTTCTCAGCAACCACGCACTATCTCTTTTGTAGACCGGAATTATAATACTCCACCGAAAAGCTAAGGGTGATAATGTCATTTCGGAAGATAATTGTAACCAAAGTTAAAATACTCTCCCGAAATAATGAACGTAATATCTACAATAGTCGCCATTTCTATCTACTGTTGATTGATGTGAAGTTTGATAATAGACTCGGAATAAATGTGAAACGACAAGAAAATATTTGTATGTACAATCATGACGGGCCAAAAGATAATAAGAATTTTGCCGAAATATCAGCAGTTCGGTCTTCATCGCAGAAAGTATATAGGATATATACACACTAAAGACGCAGCGATCACTAGTCAGAGCTAATAATAAAGAAAAAAAAAAAAAAAAACCCTTTGAAAACGACACCACTGAGCGACCATCTCGTTAGACTACGAAACATTATACAAACGTCTGCTTCATATTTATTATCTCAGAAACTCGATATAAATGGAACAAAGAAAATGATGTCAGGTGTTCACGTGATGCTACCAAGGTTTAGACAATTGAAGGGGAAAGCTTCCTGTGACGCCACAAGGCGTCAACGACTGGTCAGAGACTTTAGCTGGAACAATGAGAAACTAACAAATGTTAATTGTCTATTTATCAAGAGCCGTTTTACCTAAAACAATATTATAATAATAATAATACATCTAACAAAGTAGAGATATATCTTTTGAATAACGCTACTTGGCGATTTGCGCCTCATTGTCATGTAAAAATGTTAAATATGAGCTTAAGAGCTCACTGAAGACAGTTTGACACGATCAATAGAGTGGAGCTAATATACGACCACTTGCTCAAAAGTGGCCAGCACAGAAAGCTAGCAAAGTAAAAGGTCAAAGAAGTAGCGAAATTGCTTTTGACATTGAAGTTACTTTTTAAGCAGTTCCCTTAGTAAGCAAGGATCAAGAGGCTCATTTAGCTGTCGCCATTTTGTTAACTGAGTGAGAAATACTATATTAGAGGATTTTATCGGCTCCTATTTTTCTATCGTCTGTTGATCTACGTTTCACATATTCCGCTTTTAATGGGTCTTAGTTTGCCTTATTCTTTAGGAGAAACTATCGTAAACGGGAAAAAAAGCCGCACAATTGAGAAGCTTTTTCTGATAACGAACTATACCACAGAAACTCGGATCTGTGGTTCGGTCGAACGCTTTGCTAATTCGGAAGTTCGAAGAGTTCAAAACTTAGAGCTATTTCAATTTAGGGAAAGTGGGCTATTTCAGTGACGAGCCGAGAGGGCGGTAAGGGCACTTAATGCAATTGTCACAAGAGCAACGGGCATTCTACTGTGCGAAAGATTATTAAAGGAAGACGAACTACATATACGGAACTCAGAGGACAACATGGCTGTCGTCTGTGTTCCATAGACCTGTTAAAAGAGAGGTGATTAAGGACAGCTGACATGAATTAATTACTCGTGCGCATTGCCATTGTAGTAGTTCCAAGATGGCCCATGCGTACCTTTCCCGAGATTTTTTAGTTTTTTTTTGGTTTATGTTAAGTGGTCTTTCCACACCTGTCACGAACAATGAAGGTTCGTACTACATAGCTCCATTTATCACCCGCATTGATAGAAGCGACACACTATTGTATTTTGGTGACTCTCCCGCTTTTGTTCAAACCAAGCAGTATCAGGCAACATAAATGTCTATCCTAAAATTTGTATAATTTCTCTATGAAGTTCTGCAATTTCCGCCGGATCTTTGCTGTCTGATGTGTTTATTCATAGCAAAAAGCTCTGGAATTTTTTCCTGAATCCTATTTTCTTAAGCATTTACAACAAATATGATAATTATAGTGGTGCTAGTACACGGCAACACTGTCTGGTGCATTAGCGTATACGTACGAGTTTACTCGCACCAAAAGGGTACATTGGACTGTACAGCTTTCGCAAACACAAGCGAAAGATCCTAAACCCAGAAAAAGACAGCATATCTCAAGGCATCATATGACTAATAGGTACGCAATCATTGGCGAATAATACTACGGCATTGGGTCCTGTAGATGCTCTGAGAGCCTGCTTTCCCCTCGTTTCGGCAGTTGTTTGCACTTACACGACATTTGCTTTCGATTAAACCACCGCCACTAGTACAGCAAGAATTAGGCTTACAAAAAAAAGGCTCTTTTAATTAAAAGTTTGATGTGTAAGTATTGTCCACATATACCGGCCTCACTTAAAGGCATGTGGCACTCTAAAGTGGGGCTCCAGCCGGTATTTTCTAACTGCAGTGGTACCTACTAAGTTGACATTTTCCTCTGTTTCTGATGATTTTAGGTTTTGCTTTAACTAATTATTTTGACTAAAAAGGGAAGACCACCGCGTGTGAACAGACGGAAGGGCAAATGTCTTGAAGGTTCGGCAGATGGAGACCTATTGCTAAAATTGAGACAAAAAATCTCTAGAGTTATCGACCAGGCATGGAGCTTCGAGCGCGGTTGGGAAGCTAAGGGTTGACATTTGCCCAGGGTTATTATCTAATGAGCTTCTTCGTTCAGAATAACCATATGGACATCTTTGTTCGAAGTGCATGAGACATAAACTGATTACATACAGGCACGTACACGTTAACATCACATGATACATGTGTAACATATATATATATATATATATATATATATAAATCTCTTTCAATCAGTCAGCACTTGTTTGTTATGGCTACATGAAAGGCTGCACCGTTCGCAAACTGCTTCAGATACTCGATGAATCTATAGCCGCTCCGGCGGCCACTCAGTACCGGCTCGATAATAGTGTCAAATCGACGACTTGGATATCATTGTTCATCTAGGTGTTGTATATGATTAGCACAGTTATCACAGCCAACACGCTACCAACGAGAGGGAAGCTAACGATTCCGTTATTACTATTATGGCTTCGATAGGAATACCGGACATATATCATTATATAGCATATATATTATTTTACGATATCAATGCCGATTGAGTGATCGCCTATATATATAACACTAATGCAGGCTATACGTCTATTGTCAATCTATATATACACTACAAAAAGCATATCGCGGTTACACACACACACACACATTATTCCTATATATATATATATATATATATATGTATATATATATATCGTGCAGTGGTATTCATGGCAGCCATCATCTACCAATGAGATACGTGTGTTAATTACTAATATTAATATTGTACGATTGTAAAATATGTGTAATGAAGAGCTAGAGATGATGATAATAATAGAGCGGCCATCACCACCATTGTTATTATGGTTACCATCAGGGCTCGTTATCTTTGTATCAGATGACGAGTAGATAGGAAAACAAGTTAAGACTATTATGGCGCTGGTCATAACGGTGTCACATAGAAAAACTTGCAGAAGACAACTACACAGAAGTATAAAAGATAAACTGAATAGCTCAAGGCGGTTGGCGCCGCTACACTGGCTGTCCACCCCACCGCCCCTACCGTTCGACACGTATGTATTTATTGTTATTACTACACATGATTAAAAATTGTGAAAACAAAGCAACGTTAAAAAAAAAGCCAGAAACTCAGATATACATCGTACTTCTGCATTAGATATCGGAGGAGAAATACGAATCTTTTTTTTCGAAGGCTGTGCGCTCGATTGAAAATCCGGGCGAAGGCAGACCGAGAGCTTGAAGTTCGGCTCGTGCTGGCAAGTCCAGCGAACGCCGAAGGACTAACGGCAATGACGAAAAATGAAATCGTTACGTACGATTAATCCCGCTGGTAACGAACGACATTGCTTCAGAGACGGCATCTGCCTTCGAATACCCGCTGGTCCATAGGTGAATGCGTGAGTGCTGATATTATTATTATTCGAAGGTCCGCATGGGCATGACGATGTGAATGAGACAACCATCCGCACACGAAACAACCCAACTGAATGAGTGTGAAGATCAATATCAAACGAACATGACACACTAGAGAGTAATACATGAAAGAAATAAGATGTGATCGAAAGAGGAAGACAAAATCGATGCGGACAGAGATCGCTAACTTGAAATAGGATTTGATATAAACAGAACCAACGTCGTGCTGATGCTAAGTAGGTAATAAAAGATGTTGAAGACACAAAATGGTGAGAAACGTGGCGGCGCCATCGTTCAGCGTCGATGGAGAACGAGAGAGTATCATTATTATATCTTGTACTCATACTGCAGCTGGTTTTAATTGTAAAGACGATCACTAGGCCTTCATTATAGGATGCGATGATCAGCAGGTCGATCAGTTGACAGGCCAATCAGGCACAGGGAAGCAGCGAGGGAGAATCTAAGCTACTCAAAGATGCTACAACGACGATGATTCAGGTCTAGGCCTTCCTGCGCAGTTAGGTCTATTGGAAGGCAACAGACGCGAACAATTCAATGCAACACAAAATACAAGATGAATAGTCAACAGGTCGACGACGGATGTAAGAAAACTACACAGTGACGATGACGATATAATTACGGTGCTGCTGCTGAAGACGATGATGATACATTATTTTTGTAAATAAATGGCAATCTACTGAGTTACCATCACCATTCTAAGTGCTGAACTTCTTTATCCACTGGCTGGTTGACAGTTAGCTATCGAGTGAACTGCTGTGCTAACCCGATATAAGGCGCCTTTCTAATTAGATTTGCTAGCACTGCGATGCTTCCCATACGGAATGTTCATAGTATACTTGTACGGGACATTTTTCTGTTTTCCAGATATATTTTGGATACAGATGCTACTTTGAAAAATAATGAACTTCTTCTCTTTTGCAAGCGCCCTTTTTTCAGCTGTTCAGCCATTTTACTTCTAGTCAACAGTACTATAAAGCCGAACGGTGCGTTCGAGATATATTCTACCGGAGCAGAACAACTGTACAGAAATACAAAGCTTATGCCTTTTGGACATGATTCAATCTCAACTGGGCCATATCATTCATCTTGACTAAGAAAATTGCTCCTCTAAGCCTTTATAGTGAACACAGAGCATCTCGAGATACTCTGAGGTTATTGAGAAAAAGGTGTCCCGTGAAGTATGCTTCAACACTAAAATGCAAGGCGTTGCTTCATTGCAGGAACAGCTCACTAAAGTCTAGTCAAATAAAAAGGTCAGCAAACCATCCTGGTCATGTTCAAGTCGGTGGCGCAGATCTCGACTGAGGCAGGCTTTTCCTGGCTTAGCAATTTGCTCCTCTGTTCTTTCCTTCTTACTTTTCACTGTTTTTTCTAACTGTAGAAATTTACTTCGGAAAGATTGCGGCCTCTGCAGGGTAATGTCTCAAACGAATAGTACTGACCTATTCACAATTTGAGTACACGCACTAAAGTACAATTCAAATCTTCGTCATCACCACTTCAGCTCAGCTGAGTATTTTAGTTATGCGAAATTCGAATGTTTACCTAGAATTCAATGTAAAAGTACTGCGGACGTTCCGAATCGAAAAATCTAGTTTGTACAGGATCGTAGGCAGCAAAATTGCTTTGATCGAGCCTCTCAAGCTGAGTAGTCCAAATAGAACATCAAAAGAAAACAAATTTCAAGTTATTTTGACTTCACAAACATTCAATTATTCAGAAGTTTTCATAAGAAAAGGCGAAGAAATTTCGCGCATCCAGGTAGAATGGGAAGCTATGTGCTGGTTTTGTCGGTGGAAATAGCTGACCCCGACAACTGTAAATTAGAAAGTAAATGAGCACCTGATAAGTCCGTTCGTACTTCGCAACCTACAAATGAAATTCTTCACTGGTACAGAGGGTCGATAATGAAGTGAGTACCAGATAAGCTGGTTTGCAAAATTCTTTCATACTTTAAACGTAGCAAAAAATAGTTGCCCATCTAATACTTGCATGGCCGTTATCATTGTTGTCCAAACTCATACGATAAATTTAACAGCATTAAACGTTACTTATGATGTCCAAGTCATGTTCAACGTAAGATCAATCAACAAAAAACTTGCGAGATATCTGCGTAATCAACTCGATGTTCAGTAACCTAATAGTATCAGAACGCAAACGCCTAAACAATGGCAATGATACTGAAGAGAAGAAGAGTACTTAACGCGCTTCAGCTTATCTACGCTTTTTGTTGACTTTCTCTTCCTGGAGGGGTGTAGATGTTGTAGCCGGCGAATGTGAAAGTAACAACTAGCAAGTAATCCGTTACACGTACCTACGGCTCGCTATAACTTTAGGAAGTGCCACCTCTTCGACTAAAGCGTCTAACCTTCTGAAGGAAGACGCCTAATCGTCAAAACCTTATCTAGCGGATTATTGGAATTAGGCTTATTTGAAGGCATCCTTTTTTAGCTACGCAAAATAGCCGAGTATGCTACAAGATTCAGACCGGCTTACACGGCGTTGTAAACTATCTATTATAGTTTACAGTTTATTAAAGTGCTCATATTTTTGTTTTTTATATAAATATATGTGTGTTTGTCAATGTTAAAGCACTAGTGGTGATATAACGCTTTCACCCATCTATTCAAACTATACGTCGAAGATTGATAAACTTACTACGTTTGTACGCGATGTAGATGAATGGACTATTTAAAGGAGATTTGAATTATTCAAAAATGAATTTTGTCTTAATTCGGTAATTGATCTTATGCACTCGTACAGCATCACAGCGTTCAGGCCTTCTTAATCATCGGGCTATACAACCAGACGTCTAATTGGATCTTAAATTTCTGCTAGCCAGACCGTATTGAGAACCTAAACGATCCAATCAGAGATAGGCCGTATAAATTAAACTGCAACCTAGATACAGGTTTATCATTTTTATCTATTCATTTATTACATTTATTCCATTTGTAATAGAATTTTTATACTTAGCGGCACGCCAAAGGGTAATTATGGGAAAGCCAGTGTTCCATGCTAGGTGATGATACATAAAACGTGGAATAGAAAACCTCCATGATTGAGGAATCAATTTTTTTAACGTGAAACATGAAATCACTGACTGACTGAGTGACATAGTTAGTTGTTCGTAAAGTTATTAATGAAGCCACCCTCAGTTAGTTTATGACTACCTCGCATAATGTTCTCCCACTCGAAGTTTTTTTTTTACTTATTCATTTGCGTAAGTAGACTGTAGAGCCTTTTGCAAAAGACTTCCAATGAAGATAAAAGCGTTAAAGCTAATATAAATCTTAGGGGCGGCTACCCCATACTCTTTCCAAGAAACGAAACGAGCAATTCAGCACCCTAACATTAGCCCGTTTAAATTGTTATTATATTTTTTAATAGTCAATGGTGTTCAGTTTAGATAATCGAGTCATATCTAAGCTGTTATCTATTATGTATATTAATCAAACTAAAATAAGACATGATCGTTCGTATTAGATGTACGCAGTAAAGCCCGCACACCTTTTACTAGGCTTATCTTTCAATTATCTACCTCTCCTTTGATGTAAGATGAAATATTATCTGTAAACGTTGGCACTATTATATTATATATAGTACACGACAATTTTATACAGGTACTTAGAGAAGCAATTGAAATTTGTACCCCCTCCCCCGGAAGCAAAAAAAACCGGACCACGTAAAGCTAAAAATAAAAATGTTTATGAATACAAAATTTTGGCCGCCGCAATAAAATTGTAGTACCTCATTGAAACACTAACGATGCAATAGCTACCCAGTTTAGCTATAACATACGTTGCAATGCTACCGTTCGTTTGTATGCATATATATATATATATATATATATATATATATAATTTCCCTGGGGTCAAGTTTTCATGGTTACGGTACAATTAATAGTTAGTTCTCATTGTATTCTCTGTAATGAATCCCCCACAAATCGTTCTGCCAGCTGCTAGTGCTCAGAGGAAGAACTGTTAGTGCACGATTGACGATGAACAGCCTAAGAAGTGCCAAGAAGTTTTTTGTATCGATGCACTTTGCGGGGCGCTATTTGTCCACAGGCCAAGTTTCCTCCGTATCCTGGGGCAGTACAAAATGTTTTGTAACTCATACTTTGTATCTTCAATGGTGGCAATTCGAAAATCTCAGCGAGACCTTGAGCTTCCGGACCCTGCCCTAATTACGACATTCGCATATCCAATACGGCAATATCCATATTCAATCCGCGAAGGGACTCAAGATGAGACAGTCGTTTTATAGTTCGGTGTTGTTGTTGTGATTTGTGGCGTTTGATGACTGTGGCTTTGTTGTTCGGCTAAGGTACTTCAGGATGCTATCCTTCATTGACAATGGCGAGCTCGTTGGAGAGTACCTAAGGGCAAGAAGACAACTAGCATCAGCATTGTTGATACGTAATTCTACTGAACATGTGTAGGTTTTCTCTCGTACTCATCCATATCATCTTAATGGTCCTAGATTCACTCTGATTTTGGGATACCTTTTGTTAACCCAAATATATGAAGTATTTGACTACTACCCATGAAGATGAATACATGAGATTTGATCAACTGGGATTTTTTAACCGTATAAAAACCTGTGACCCACAGGCTCTCACAACAGATTGTTCTAAAACTAAAGTCAATTATTTCTTAATGAACAAAGGAACGTGTGTCATACAAGTTCTATACTTTCAAACATTACCCTACGGTTATGAGTTATAAAAAGAATTGCTTTTCTAGGTAAATTCAGGGAGAAAAGTCAATTGCATCAGCGATATGAGGTAATGTGTTCCATTCGATAAGTTTTCGTTCGCCGCTTAAGTAGAAATGGGTCATTTATTCTGGTTTTAACCTTATATCTAAGCTATTATCTATTATGTATATCAATCAAACTATCGTTACGGCTTATCGTTAAGGCACTATCGTTAAGGCTTGCGTATACTATGAGTTTCCACAACGAAAACGGTAATGTTAGCAGGTGTGCATTCGTCAACTCGATACAACATACATGAATTCGTCCTTCTAGCTTACAAGTAGATCGTAAACCTTAATATTATACATTTGTGGGAGTCACATGATCCCCCCCCCCATTTCTTTGTTGAAAGCTGCTAAAAAGATTTTTATATAGGCATACCATTGCCGAAAAACTATCTTTGCTACAACCTATCTACCAGCCTGGTTGTACCTTTCAACGGGAATCCCATTTCGATCAACAATAAACTTTGTGAAGTTCCATTTGATTCCGTCGTAGATCAGGCCGCCTTGTCGTTCCTTAAGGAAGCGCCATAAAGGTTCAGCGTTTGCACCATTCACCTGAAACACAAATGTGACGTTAATGAATTTTAAAGCAATTTCGAATGTGTGGCTGAAATATCACAGAGGTAATGAAGTATATCGACGAATAGTCATCCCTGTAACTCCAATTATCTAACTTCAAATACCGTCTACAGGTTCGTGATGATTATATGCGGAACCAACTAAATAGGCAGAAATAGAGACTAAACTAACTATTAGTGAATGAATGAACGAACGAAGATCGAGAATAGTACTTCCGATCGAAGAAATGGTAGGTTATGACTTACATTAATTTTGGCAAACATGTCAAAGTTGACGGAATATGTTTCACGAGCAAAAGTTTTAATTTGTTCATTGGTTTCCAGTTCTTGGCCGGCGAATTGGTCCGAAGGGAATCCCAGAACACGAAAACCGCGAAAACCTAGCTCCTGAAAAAGAAGCGATGTTAGATATTTGAGCTTACACATTTCTTGTGGAAAATTACGGGAATTATGCGCTGTCAAGTAATATCTCAGTCATTATAGCTCTAGATAGACACCGTTTGTCCCGTTCTATATATAGCGCAAGCAAACGTATTGTAACATGTAACAGGTCCCTACCAATAAGCTAACGATAACTAAGTACGCTTTACTGGATTACAAATGGTGCCACCGAACCTTGGAAAGTTTTCTACTAATATGCCTATATTTTTGGAATTAGCGAGTGAATGAACTGAGAAATTAGCAACTTGGTTGTTTCTTAGTGCAGATTTGTGTAGCTTATAGCTAATACAATGCGTTTTATAGGGCTATAACAGGAGGTCATCACACCTTTAAGGCATACAACACCCTACAACGCGTCCTCATCTGGCGATGTGAAGGCAGTTTAAAAAACATACCCGGTTCTTCCTTACACCTTGCTGACACACAACGATATTCCGTGTGCTCTTATTATAGTTGATACCTGACTTCAGTGCAATATAAACTGTCATTGATTTTTTTAATTCACCACACTGAGGCTGAAACGAAAAATTTCTTCACAGCGTTTCCTCTTACTGTCATCTGAGCTCTTTATAAGCTTAAAATAGGTTCTGACTACACATGACGCCGCTAGTCCTAAAAAGCACTCCGTGTAGCTTAAACCTTAGTAGGTTGTACCGTCATATAATCTAAAAATGAATCATATAGGCTTTACTGTAGGTAGGTGATGTTCCGTTTCCAGAGGTTGTTATACACACACGAGTGGTCTATCTCCGGTATGGACTTATCTATCTATATATAGTTGATTTCAATACAGTTCTATAGATGATGCGCGTAGTCCATCGGACTGTTGCGCTACAAGTCTGCAAAAACTGTCGAGCTGCCTGCATATCGAAAGCGCATTTTGTTGTCCTTATTGCTCCTTGATTGATTCACGGCCCACTGAATTGACTTTTTTGTCTATTCATTGATAAGCAATTGAATGTTTTACGTCGTTATTAATTAGTAGATACTAATGGCGTGCATCATTTACGCAGGATATAGTTTTCCTTTTTCTGAATATAAGATAATTAAGTTAAGTGATCTCTTGACCTTATATTTATGAAAGTGAGATAAGGTTTCAAAATCTTTTCTTAACTAATACAAAAAAAAAACTAAAAAAATAACGTTGACTGCTTCGATAAAACGACTTTTAAATGTAGATATATATATATATATATACATTTTTTTTTTTTTTTTTTTGCACATATACACAATTTGCCAAGTGGAAACAGCATCGCAACAGCTGGCGAAAAGCTTATCGGCACACACTCGATAGCAATGGACGGAGTAAAATCTCAATAATGTATAAACAAATGTCTCCTCATATTCTCAGAGGAATATATCCAAGTATGTCCTCGTCTGAGTCTAGCGATAAAGCATTTCAAAGCTCTGCTCGATTTGAAGAAGTCACAATTAAGAGTACTGGTAGATAAGGGGAAAGGCTGTAAAGGTGGACGAACAAAGTTTTTTTACTTGAAAAGTAGGCAAGTGAGAGTAAGGCGAAACACACGTTACGATTCGTTTATGATTCTCTAATGGAATAACAACTTGGATCGTCCACAGTCGAATGGATGATCGAAGACGCTCCGAAACTACTGGCCACCAATAGCCTGTTCGCGAGTATCAAACTTCATCTGTGTATGCGTCCACTTCGTAGAATACAGGTTGTATACTAACGTGTAGCAACTTATGTTGAGATTTTTACCCATTTCAGTTGTACAACATACGCTACTCTGTCGTGATTCGAGACGAGAAGCTGCAACATTTCCGCGCTGGTCACATGCATTGTAATTGTGGTCAAGCAGAAGGTCGTACATGCGCCTACACAAACACCAAGTTCTTTTAGCACAGTTCCCACCTAGTAGCATATATGTTAGCAACCCATGTCAACAAGCTTGCGCCACTCATGGACATTTATAAATATTTTGGCAGCTCTAGGTTATAAGGCCATAATTATAGAAGCCAAGCTAAACATTTTGAACACATCTGAATAATCATAGTGCATATTCAGTTCTTCTAAATGGATAATGTTAATACAACCCCAGTACTCAGCCTAGAGGAAAACTACATCTCTTCCAAACCCAGAATTCTATTCATGCTCCGACCGTATACGCGTAGCAGTTACGTTTCGAAATTCGCAAGCGTACTATTATGCCTCGTTGCGGCCCCATAGAGGTACTGAAAGATTTACCTTTTGAAGAATCGTGAGCTCCTTGTAATTTCGATCAGTGAGTCCACACTCAGAAGCAAGATTGACGATGACCAGTACCATTCCTTTATATTTTGACATGGATACGTTGTTTCCTGTTACACACAATATTGCTCTACATTTACGAATCGTTATAAACGATCGTTGCTCTTTTTTCAGGCGCACAATAGCCTCTCTTCTGAATTCTCCTGAATGGCCAAATTATGTTGCAAGACCATTATCTTTTTCACAACAACCTAACTGCCGGCAAATACATAGCTCTACACGATGTTATACATGAACCAGTGGTTTAGCGAGATTGCTGCGCGTAAAACTCAAAGCATTTATTTATCTGTCCTATTAAAGGTGCCTTGTTATTTTTGACAACCACATTGTCGTAACTTACCATCGATGTCTTTTACGGTGAAGTCGTATACGGTCCCAGTTGGGGAGTCGTAACCTAGGCTATATCCGATCAAAAGCGTACCCAGCAGTGAGGAAACCAACAGGATCATAGCTATTCTTGGCGAAGGTCGCAGTTGTCTAAGCATTAAAAACATTTTTTGTTTACCTGTCCATCTCCATAGAACGTGTTAAGCTGTTCACAGTGTTCTTTGCCATTGTACACTTAATTATTATCAGCTCAGTAACACTAAGTAGTAAGGTACATATCAACAGACATAGAATTATTATATACACTTTTCGACATTTAGAACTCTATTGCGCGCTTTTTTCAGGTTTTATATACAGTGCACCGGTTAATGCAGACAATATGGACATATTCTGCACATCGCTGTTGCATAGCCAGATTTGAATTTGCTAGATTATTTGCATAGTACCTTATTGAGCAAGAGTCGACCCGCGTAAGAAGACGTTCGCAGAATGGCAAAAGGGAACATTTGAAATAGGTTGAAGGTGTAATAAACATGGCTGCCAAGCGATTTGTTGAAATATCAATTTTTGTTCACATACTACTATTTTAAAAAGAACTTAAAATATTTTTTTTCATATATATATATATATATATATATATATATATATATGTACTGAAAAACATCACCACTGTAGATATGTAGGAGAAAGCGTGTAACCCTTACGCATTACGAATTATTTTATCATATGCTCTAATCTTTGCTATTTATATGACGGATGGTAATTCTGATTTAGCTAAAGAGACGATCATAAATTAGTTAACATGAAATGTTCTGGCTATATATGTTAGTCGATACGTATAGGCTATGTGAACTATATCAGGTAGTGACCGAATTATAGTTCAGAGACGGGTAAGCAATCACGTCCTAAATAACAAGCCCAAATTTTCTTTTTCGAGTTAGTAATACCAGTAGGGTTGGTCAAAGGTATCCAAACCAATTAATCTTGTGGGTGTGCGAATTACCGGCCTTGGCAGCTTTCCTTTTTTAAAATAGATCTGAATCGACCTCCTATGCAAATTTTTCAAAGGAATGTGTATCAAATATACGATTCGAGTTCGTATCTTTATTAAGATAACTCACTGTATATTATTATTAACTTACATAAAATAATCGTTCGATCGCACCCTACCTCTGATCTGTTCACATCGACTAATCCACGTCACCACTATCCTGAACGCAGCGCAGTAAATAGATGTCACGCTCTATTTCCCGGCATCAAATATTTTTTTCTTCTTGATATTCCAGGCGTATTCTGGCGGCGTTTACCGACAGGCCAGCGAGCTTTTGACAATGTTCGAATGTCACACTGATCTCTCACAAGAAAGGGCGCCGGATATTACTGGGAAAGGGCATCACGGGGGGCGAAAGACAGTGACCAAACAGAGTGAACACTCTTGATGTCTGGGGTTGCAGCACGACAGAGATTGGGCATTTAAGCTGCTATGTTGGATTTTACTGGAAGTGGCGAATATAAGAAGTAAGGAGAAGAAATCAATAGCTGGAGGCTCGTATACACCGGGCATGCGGAGTTATCTTGGAAGGAATCTATAGACGAAGGGAAGAACTATTCGAGAAGGCGAACAATCAGGCCAAATGGACAGAGTTTATTTAAGGATCGAAAACAAAAAGTACAATGTTAACTGATACTGAAGGCTCTCGAAAATTTCTTGATGAATATTCATATACCTAGAAGCTCAGTACGTAATACAAAAACGTGTTGCGAAGGAGAGTTCTGCTCAATGAAAGATGGTCAAAATATTGTACGTAAATTACACCTAAATAAAGATTCGTGTAAAGGCGGAGGTTTGAGACAAGGTCTAAGTAGACCGGTGGTTTAACAATCGATCTATTATGTGCGCAGTAGAGAGAACTTCGTAACGATAACAGACACTTCACATGGCAGGGACAAGAGAACCAGTTTTCGCGTTTCACCGCATCCCGCTAGTTTTGCTACTGATCATCTGCAACATTTCTATTTTCGTAAATCGAATTATCCAATGTTAATATAATACTTGTGAAACTATTGAAATTTATCAAATGCGTAAATAGATGATCTATTGAAGATGTTTTGAGAGAAAGCGGTGATTTATTATAAACTGGAAGGGGTGATTAGACTTTTGTGCTTTAATCATTGGTTCCTTTTTCGGGTTTAAATTGGGGCAAGTGACCTGTTAGTTAGCACACAACATCTACATGGTATCTGAAAAAAATGTCGTGTGGATAATATATATACAGTATTGGAGTATAGAACTAAGTATGTGCCAAAAAAATATGGTACGGCCCACACCTACATGTTCAGCACAAAAGGTAGCACTATATATCACTGAAAGTTATCTTTTTCAATAGCCGACAGGAGGCTTTGCGCTGCTGCCTCCCCTCCCCCCCCCACACACAAAACCTGTTTCCAGTGGTTTCTCGAATCTGAAAGATTAAATTTTACCCATTATTGACGAAAATATGCGTATCGAGAATATTTATCCGAGATGTCTATAAGGGAGCTTATTACGAATGGCTAACTAAGAAAGAGCCTGTCATGACAATAAAACCTAGGTTACATCGTGTGCCTTTAAATCTAGTTACTCACAGTTAGATCATATAGCATAGAGTTTTATTTACTTTACACAAAAGTTATTTTTATTAATGCCTATACTTGCGATGAAGAACTACACTCAATTACTACAACTAAATATATAGTATTTAGTTGTAGTAATTGAGTTTTAATTTAATATATATATATATATATATAACACAATAAATATTTTGATAGAAGTAAAGCAAAATGAACAAACCGGTTCAGAGCTTAAGCTTCAAATTTATCATAACTTTTATCATAAACGTTTTATTCATATTTTTCCTCGCGTTTTGGAAAAACAAGAAAGCAATTTATGTATTGCTCCACACTTTATTTAACCCTCTGCTGCTCCACATCCGGAGCTCGAAAGTGGATGTCCTATTGGTGGATATTTGTCCTTCTAACGCATTGTCAAAGAGGACACAAAAAATCTATTTGCGCTATCGGCTGTGTCGTTGGACTACTGTGCGTAACCTATGATTGAACTTCGTGCATGACACTGATCTACTACATTAGGCCATTACTTAAATAAACACAAATCACTTTTATCAATTATTGTATGAATCTGATTTCTTGGCCTGGCGGCAGAATGCTTTTATTTCTGCTCCTCTTCATATAACACATACAACTGCAGAAAGGACAGTGTTTAAGTCCGCAACCCGGCCGCTCTCCCTGTGTGTTATAAGCCTGCTATCGCTGGGCCTCCCGACCCACAATCGGTCGATCCCGATGAGACCCTCTCAACACAGGTCAGTATAACCCATAATAATCAGCACCTATTCAACACATAGTTTATTTACTTTATTTAACTTTTAGACTGTTTTCGTATTTTTATTATTAATGTTATCATTCGTAATATTATTTCTTAGAACTATTTGACAGCTATGTACATACTTGATCTTCTTTGGGATTGTTCATTACGGTGTTGTCTTTCAGAGGTCGTTCGGCTTGATAGTTCACAAAGGAAATTTGCGCGATTTTTTCATGGTAATTAAATGATGAATCGAGTAAGCTGATATTCTCAACAGGTGTTTGCACATCCTCTTCTAGATTCATTTCATCACCGTCACTTATTTATAATAATAATAATGATGATGATGATTATTATTATTTTATTATATTACTATATGATCGCTGCTGCTATAAACAACTGAAACGCACCTATGAGTATCGCACATTCTACGTGCCTATTCACACGACAAACCTCATGCCTTCTCACTTCGAATAGTGTTTGTGAAAAAAAAAAAGCGCTTTTGTCTACTTGTTTGATCAAACGTAAACGCCAAACTCGTTAGGACAAGCAGGCGGTCTTGAAATTTCGTAGTTCTTGGTGGTATACTACAGCCGTACAATTAAAGGCTAAAAGGGAAAATAATTTATCAGTTAGAAATTCCAAGAGTTCTCGGTTTCTGCCTGGTTGCCTCCCCACAGGCCTCGTGTATAAGAAGCCCCATGTCATTCTGGCATTAATTGGCAGTTTTACTGTTATATTGATAACGAAGAACTAAACGCGCGATATCATGTTCATTACAGCATTATCATTATCATTATTGAGTTCGAATAGACGTTTTCTACAGTGATAAGTCAGCTTAACGTCAGACATGTTCGTAGGCGTTGACAGCCCCGAAGCTCAACTGCTAATTAGGATCAATCGCTGACCGTCTTACATCATTCTCGAAAGATTCTCACTTCACTTCTACGAAAACCGTGTATAGGAAATGATAGCCAACAGCTTCTGGATGCTCTCGAGGCATGTGCTAGACGAGACGTGTGCTTTTCGAATTTAGGGTTCACGTTGCTACTTGTTCAGGCATGGTAAGGAAAAAGGATCTTCTACACATGGAATGGCGGTTACGCTTCTTCCCTGAGAACTTGCTTATTTTTCTAACATGGCAATGGGTTCAAAGCAACTGATGTTCAGTTCCTCAAAAATGTTTTCACGGCGTGAGACGGTAGTAGTAGTAGTAATATCATTCAAATGCTTTCCCTCCCATGTGCTTTTCTTTCATTTCACTTGGAACTACTTCGTAGTTATTTATCTTTCTGCTAAACGTTTAGATGATATATTATTAACAGGCTCGCAAATATAAAGACATTCGCCTGTAACGAAATCACCTGGATAGATGATGTCGCGTCATCATCTAATGCTAACGCCCGCCAAATTGGCTCGATATCCTCTACTGTACTATGGGCAAAAAGGCTCTACCCTTTTTGCCGGTTCGGAAAGGTCTACATTCCTTCAACTAGGCTAATGCTATTCAAAACGGCAGAATTTGTTGCATTTCTGTACAGTGATCGTGCGGAGAAAGTAATGGAGCAACTTTGGAAGCTGCAGCGAATGTCGTCGAAAAGCACTCAATGATAAGCGACACTCTTTCTCGGTAGATCTTAAATGTATGTGTGCTTTTATGTGAATCATTTCCGTTAAAAATTGCAAAAAAACCATCCGCTGTATCACTAAATTTCAATCCGATCTCATACTCGGCGCCTTACAATAGGCAACGGTTCGATTTCGCCTACCGAAATACAATTGCTGGAGCGGAACATTCAAGCTAACGTCCCGTTGAGCTTTCGAGCAGTCTTCAAATTTTACGTAATACAGCCCTTAGCGGCTACTAATCTAATTACTACTCTTCTACATATGGTGTAGAGCTACAAGCGATCCCGGTATGAGACCGCAAGCTGACGACTAGACTCTGCAAAGGGAAAAGGTAAAAAAACAAATTAAGTGGAAAACGATTACGGCGGTCTCTGGCATGTCATTGGTTGAGCACTAGGTCCACCTAAAAGTAGAACGTTCTTCTGCTAATAGAGTAACAAAACTGCGCAACCGTTCGAGAGTCTCCTCCATGACACGATGTTCTTCATTAAGTATCTGGGTCCGGGTGCGTTCCTCGAGCAGTCGTTGCTGGGTCTGAAGAAAGCAAAATATAAAACAGAATGAGATGAGCAGCGCAATTTTCGTTTGAAATAACATTTGCATTTATTAGAGAAATGCCTACAATGATTATAATATGCAGGCAACACTGTCAAATATACAGTCAATAACGTAATTTGCCAACAATCGGAAACGATTTTAATCGGTGGGCGCGAGGCCTAGAAATAAGATGGCTCTTAAATCTCCCGCTCGAGACTGCACAAATTGTCTTACAAAACGTGGGACAGTTTGCAGAGTCTTTGCCATGTGGACTCTGACGTTGTCGTGGACAAGGGTGACTTTACCTCATTTATCGTGTTTCTCTGTTGGAGGCACTCGTTTACTCAATTTGTATATCACAGGGTCATATATAGACCCTTCTTGACTGCTTCGATCATTTTAAGCAGTTCCAATTGTGTGAAACGATTTAATCGTACTGAGTAAAGATAACATTTGTTTTTTTCGAAATTAATAATTGCCTTAACTTTGGCTTAGGCGTATCTCTCAAAGCTCTTATTCAGTTTTTCGGTGTCACATTAACATGAAGACGTTTCTTACCACTTGTAGCAATGCTTCGCAAAAATCTGGCATTGTGGTTGTGCGTTTCCTGCTTAAGGGTAAAGCGAAAGCCGCGTTTTTCTATGCGCTCCACCTAATTGTTTGGCGCATATCCAAGCTCTGTATTTGTTATGAAATTCCAGAAATTTAACGTGTCTAATAGTAGTCAAACAATCGCTGTTTAGCTTCCCTTTTATCTTTATATGAATTATTTGCCATCGAACGACCTCGGACGATCGACCGCGAGGCGTGGGGCATCCTCCACTTTTAAAATGCCATTACTGAGCTTTGCAAACCACTTCCGAGCAGTCATCTTAGACATGGAATCCACATCGTACACTACACATACCTTTTGCTGCTTGGACAGCCTTTCGACCAAGAAAGGTGAAATAGAGTAGGCATCGAAAACGACCTTTTTAGTTCATTTCTGAAGCCTAAACTCGGTGTTAAATTTACTCTGAATACACAATAAAGCTGCAACAAAAAAGCCCTTTTGAATCGTACATTGAAGAGAACAAACAGAACGAAGCCAGTTGTAGCCAAGGGCATTCTAATAGATGTACCGATTTTCTAAGATGTTTACCAATTTGATACATGAACAGTGAATGAAATCGAATCTACAAAAGATAAATTCTAGATAACATAGGAACGCGAGCCCGTCTCAGCGATTCTAAGCCATACCAATAACTGCACCGTCGCGCAATGTCCGTCATTACTATGGAAGACAAAACGTATTTGGAGTACACTTCCCCCTTATTTTATAATACCCACCTGTTCGTGTTTTTTGAGCAATTCTTCTCGTTCGCTTTTGAGCTTCTCCGCCCGTTGCTCGAGCTCCTCCTTGAATTCCAACTAAATAATAAAGCACACGTGAGATGTAGATGTGAGAATCACTGGATCGCCTACAAATAATCCTCATCAATCGTTTTCTAGTTTTTCGATAGATTCAGCATGTTCAATTGAAGTGATTTGGACTTCGTAAATGTTTACAGATTTCCAAATAAGAGCATCAGTTAAGATCCCGTATAATAATAATAATCTATTTATTTTTGGCCTATTTACCTTCGACTTTCCGTCCGGTATAACAAGCTTTTTTTTCCTTCGGAGACTCTCGAGCCTTCGACGTTCCTCCATTGCAGCCGCGGAAAACTGTGGATTGGCTGTTTTTCGACGACGCCGCTCCTTTCGGCGCTCCAACAATTCGCGATGTCTTAAGCAAGAGATACAAACACGACCTTAACAGTTTGTTTTTCCGCCTACCTTGCAGACATTAAGAACCGTTCTAACTTAAACTAGATGCAGAAATGAATTATACTGAAGTAATTCCGTCATGAATCATCCGTAGCAGAGTTTTGATTCGTCGTCAACCCAGGAAATACCAGATGCGTCAGACATTAGTAAATAAACTACGCAATGAAATCTGATTGATTACGAGTTCCATCTGGCTAATTTAATTACTTGTAAGGATAGGGCAATTTTTAATTTAGTAGCTTACTTGTCACGTGTACAGAGTCCGATGTTTGCGAGAAACCAGGCTTGCTGCTTATGCGTCCTAGCAACTTTTTCAAACATAGCACCTGCACACCTTGGCGGGCTCGCATCATCGGCATCGAACGTTCGAGAAGAAATCTCACACTGGACAGACAACAACGATGGCGAAGCCACAGAAAGCGCTCGCCTACTTGGTGCATCGTCTTCTAAATGTTTAGCCGAAGGCTGCGCTGCCACCTGCGTAAACAAAGGAAACATTTCAGAAAGGAACATTTTCATTGTACGAATGAAAAACGTTTAATTGACGCATCAATCCTCGGAACATTTTTCCAATCACTGACGTCGTTCGTACTTTATCTATATTATTTAGCTCACAATCAATTTGAGATAACTGCACGCCTTAAATTTTAAAGGGTGTAAACGTGCACATACAGTACGGATCATGTCATTCGGCACAACATAGTGTGTACTATACCATAAAAACGACAAACCTTTTGCACAGTGACCGGCGTTGGCACAGAGACAATCTTGCAATTGTTTAACTGTAATGTGTTATTATTATTAATACTATTGTTATTATTGATTCCCCCGTTGAGAGCGTTGCTCAGCGTCGTGTTCAGGTTCGCTAGGCTGGTCAGGTTATTTAGCGGCAGTCCATTTAAATTATTGAGAACCACTGTCCCATTGACAGGAAGACCGTTTACGGTTCCACCAACGCCGATGCCATTGACAACTCCGGTGATGCCGTTCAGGCCGTTTCGGTTACTGACAGCGTTCAGATGTGGTTGAACCGTAACAATGTTGAACTGGCCTGCCTGACTGGGGGGCACCTTGATAATAAACAGTGCCGGTTTAGCGGCCGATGGCAACTTGAGACCAGTAGGTGTGGCAACGATACCTGAAGTGTGCAGGTATTGTTATTGCTACCATTACTGAACTATTCGTTAATTTTAATCCGATATATGTATTAGATGCTAAACTTTTATTCAATACGCATAATCGTGCGGACATCCTGTAAATACTAGTTACTTTTGTTACAATCAACAGTTAAAAAACTCTTCAAAATTTCATTTGAAATTAGCTTAAGCGGCAAGATATTAGCAAAGTATTACCGTAGCTATACCAAACGTCTATGTAAACTTTGGTGTTAGGCGATAAAATCATTTGAATCACTGCAGTAGCCGTTGTTGAAACATACTGCCGTTACGGCATCGTAACATAACATTATTGCGCCTGTCATGAACCTGTTACATAGTTAAATCCGCTATTTATTACAATGACTTGTGCTTCATAAACGGATGTGAAATGAGGACCCTTCAACTGTCGTGAGACTTCTGTTTTGTTTAGACATACTTATTTTCCGGCATCAGGGAGTTATGCTCTTGACATGTCGGGATGACCTTCAGCTAAATCGACGGTGAGCGTATTCTCTGTTACTAATGGTTAAAAGAGGTCCTCCGCGTAGATGCTAATAGAAAATGCCCTTTGCGTACCGTTTGTTGTGGCTTGCTGCTGATGGACGAGGACGTTGGAGTTAATAACAGGAAGCGAAACTGGTTTCGTTGTGGCATCTTGTTTGATAGTGGTCCCAGCGGAAAGGGGGGTTAGAGCCGTGGCAACGCTCGCAGTCGGCGTAGCCGAGCTATCCGACTGAGCTCCGCTGGTATTGATTTTACTACTAAACTTGATTTGGCTGGAGTCTTTTTGACTATCTGGTTCAGGAGCGTTTTTTCTTTTTTTAATAACCACCCTGTCGGCAACAAGTTGAAAGTCATCTTTGGCGGCCTGCGGAGTTTCTTTTGATACCGAAACTGTCGACTGAGCAATGAGCTGCTGAAAGAACGGCCACAAAAATAGATAAAGATGTTAATCATACATACTTTTTACCAAAGTGGTAAGCATTGATTGAAATAATTGATTGACCTTCTATTCCAACGGAACGGCTCGACTTCAGACCTTGCGTGGTCTACGGGTTCACGGAGCCTCCATTGCGCTAAACGTATCGTGCCAATGGCGTCACTATGATGTATTATTAAAAACGCGTTATGTTACCGTAATAATAATCGTTCCGAGTTTGGTATGCCTTCAGTGTTCACAGCCATTGCGTCAAAGAACTATTTCACATTACATTACATTACGACATCCACGATTCGAAAAGCTGTATGTAAAAAATATTATAAGAAACCGCCCACGTCACCTTAGTGGCGAAGAAGTTCCGTTCGCGGCAGTGACCGATCTGGCTTACTCATTGCCAAATAAATAGTGCCCTTTTCTAAACTACAGGACTGAAAATGTCTACTAATTTCTGCGAAGGTCATACCTTTTGAGCAAGGGACTTTGGAAGCGGAATATCTCCATTTACATGTGAGGGAACCTTCATGCTATCCCGGTACACCTCGGACACCTGTAGATTCAGATAAAATGTTCCGTGTTTAGTGTGAGATCTCGATGAGGAATTGGGTTACGATCCTGCAGCACAATGCTACCGAAATCGCTTGGAGATCTACATAGGATCTGTGTTACCCGTGTGTTACGCCGCAGGCTGCTCTGGCGTACGATGATATAAGAACAAATATTCTTCATATCGCCAATCTATGGAAAAATAATAGCTGGCAACAGCTCTTCACGCTACCGCTACTATAAGCTGTCAAAGTTTTACGCATTACATAACAAAATGTATTAGGTAAAGAAGGTAAGGTACTTACATATTTGAGCTGGTAGGCCTTGTTGATGATCTCCTGTTGTATTCGTGATGCCGCTCTAAGTTTCGAGTCTGCAGCAGAAGATCTAGAGACAGTAACATGCACAACGGCAAACCTCGTCAGCTATAAGATATATTTGCTGCGGTACGTCTTAAGATTTAACAGTAATTTGCGTAAGCGCAAATATAATAAATAAGCGAAAATAGGAGTCTATAAATCGAGTTGGAACTATGAAATATCGCAAAGCCATTCCATATAATCGCACAAAATTGAAGTTCTTTTCTGAAAACTACTATTATGATTTTGAAAAGTAATAATTTATATAACAGTATGTGGTTTTCCAACGTGTTTACCCAAGCTGTTCGGCTGTCTCAATAAGCCGATGGTGCTCGCGTATGAGAGATCTCAGCTGCCGCTCGACAGTCTGAAAATACAGGATAACATTATACTAAGACTATTTTACTTGTACGACACTAAAATAGACGATTTCTTACGAGCTATCCTACACATAGGGAATTACACTGTGGCAGCCCTTCCACTTGGGGCATTGTACGATTTCACAAAATTGATTTATAGCCAACAACATAGTAAGATAGAAAATCGCCTCCACATCTTGAAGCACATAACAAGTAGCATGCGCTAATCCACTAAATTAAAAATATTGAATAACAAGTAAAATCCCGCAGATAGAAAACGTCAACCAGATTAGATCAGCCGGATTTAATATTGCTATATCACGATCTGTCAACTAGGAAATCGCTACCGACTTCGAGCTACCTACTTTCAACGAAGCTATACGAAAAATCAATCCAATATGGAGCCTGACGCAACCAGAGATTCGAATTAGTCGCAAAGCGCAATGTTTTTACAAATTAACTTTTGCTTGAATGTTCGTCCGCGATAACGCTAAAATAAGTGTAGAAAAAGACGACTCCGAACGCTTGTCGCACTAACTCGAAAAATTTGGGTTGACCGGGTCCAAAGTAACCGGTTGTTATCGTATAATTTGGTCGAACTGCTTCGTAGTGATTCTCTCGAATACAATATAGACGCACTCTATTATACTTACCATAATAGAACACATTTTCCTCCTGGTTAGCTTTGCTATCTTTCTATGAAGCCATAGTTTTGTTATCATTTAACCGTTCGCTCAAGTTGGTTCGCTCAACATTTACGGCAACTGATCCGACCTAGCAATTACCAATGTTAACATACCAGCCAACAGCCCAGGAAGTTTAGCCATTTCCATCTGAACGCACTCAAATAGGGCACGCAATAGCCCAAGAGCATACCGCTGATAAACTTTACAACACCACTAATTAGATAGCAGTAGCTAGACGAAAAACGTGGCTGAAAGAGGCGCACAATTGAAAAAAGCACAAATTCACGTCAGGTTGCAGTCCACTTCATAAGAAACACGACCAGCATCGGCTATAAATCACAGACTGCCAAACTTCGTAGGCTGGCGGTGCTGCTGCTGCTGTCGTCTTCCACGTTGTAGAGCACTTATTTTATGGGAATTTTTGGCCATCATCACCTGACCTGCGGTAGCAAAGTTGGCAACGGTTTTTTGCGTGCGCGGTTCGTCAGGTAACGAAGAGAGCATGATTATCGCTTGAGCAGAAACAACTGATTTAACCTTCACGATGTATCCAGCAGCAGCTAATGGTCAGTCCAGGTAATCAAACGTAGTGGAGCATTTTTCTCAGAGAAGCCGCGCATAGCGAAAACAGCCGCGTCACCAAAAGTAAAATCACCATTTTGCTACAGTAGCACACAGTCGTTATGTGTGAAGGAGTAAACGTCGTCGTCATTGGGCTTTAGACTGGCCTTGTACAACTGAGAGCCTGAGGAGGTGTTCGAACCCGTATCTAATCTTGGCAACGAGTACCTAGCATCTTCTTCGTACGCCCCGTCGAGAATAATAGTTTCTTCCTCGCAAATCGGAAGGTCTGCCTGCCAACCTTTGCTGCACCGCTGCATAGACAAACTGACACCACACCGAGGAGTTGGCTCTACGAAGAAGAAGACACCCACCCGTTGCCGACCCACCGATGCACGCGGCGTTTTACAGAGAGAAACGAACCACTAGCGGTGCTCCTACCAAGTAAAACTGAAGTCATGATGGAGGCTGAGGACTGGAGGAAAGGGGAAATTGTGTAGGAGTTGAGTTCGCTTGAGTTTTTGGCGAAGATTCTATGTATGTGCGTGTCGCTGCGGGTTGGGGGAAGGCGGAGGGCTCTTTGTGACGTTGTGCGTTTCTCTATATGTTAGTGTGAGTACGTGTCCGTTGGCTTGTGCGCGGGATGATCGAGTTCTCCGAGTGAGCGATCTCAACTAACTCCTCAAAACATAAACAACAATCGAAATAATGGCTGGTGGCCAAGCTCCCAACTTGTTCTGAAATATGAGGCCCGGATTCATAGCCGTCCGGCGATAAGCTGTCGGCAATAGTAGTCTCACGAAATATCAACATAGAGACATCACTCAACGAGGACTTAACATAATATGAAACCGAAAACATACAACGGGTTGGGTAGTAGCCTCGAAAGACAAGGAAAATTACGATACGAACGAATACGACGAGCCTGCTCAAGCTCGTATTTGTTAGAAATAACAAGATTTTTGATTGAAGAAGACTCTGACGTTTCGGCAAACTTTTAAACTATTTGTAACGTCAAGTGCTTTCATGTCGCTTTCCCGAAGAGTTAATTACCGCTGCTTTCGCTGCCTCTGCTGTGGTCCGACGGAGCTGCGTGAAGTGTTGTTTAGAGAACGTACCTCAGTGTCACATCGCTCGGCTGCGCCAAAAAGAAGACGGGCGCTTTAATTAGCAGCGCGCCGAAGGGGAAATACGGCAAAGCAATGGGGCTAGTAGAAATATGGGAATCATCATCGGAGGACGGGCAACGAGGAGAAGAGGAGCGCGCGCAAGCTGTTTTCCGAATAGCTGCGAACGTTGAACGCCGTCCCGAAGCTCCCAACCCCCCTCACCGGCCGCCAGAGCTCCTGTCCTGTTTCTCTCTATGCAAACCAACAACTACATTTCATAATGCACCTGCACTACAGCACTCTCATTGAACGTCTTGCAGCTCCTACGGTATAATGCTGCTACGGTAGCGATAAAACGCAGCATAAAGTTGGGCCTTAATTTTTTGTTCACATGTGCTGACTGCTTCGTTACTTCGTTGGCAAGAAGGGTTGAAAAAGGCGTACAGAGACCGAAGCGCAGCGTAAAGCAGTACAGCCATTTGGCGGCAGCGGCGGCAACGACTACGACGGCGGCAGCAGCAGGCGCAGCGCTACACCCACTACTCCGCGTGCCGATCTCCAGCTTCCCGAAGCCCTTTCGCTCCAATGTGAGGAGCAGCAGCAGCAGCAGCTTCGAGTGGACCCCGACGGTAGCGGCACTAACAGCAGCGGCTCTAACTCTGCTCGAACAACTAATGCCCTCCAACTCAAAACTCTCTAACTTTTCCCCCGCTGCGTTCATTTGTTGGCCCATTGTTATATCTTCGAATGGCACCGCCACCATCGTGCCCTCCTCCTTCGCGGCAGCGGCAGCAATACCAGCGGCCGGCAACAGAAGGCCAGCGTGCGGACAGGCCGACACCGGGCTTCTGTTTTGCACCGTGGAACGCTTTCTCTTAGTAGTCGCTGGCGATCTACTGGACTTCGTTCGTACGTGTGTTTGGCGTATATGGCCTGGCTTCGGTTTATCTATGTGTGCGTGTGTGCTTAGCAGCACGCTTTCAGCACCTTCCCGAAATGAGCTAGCTAGTTAGATTAGCAGAAGCTACACGGCAGATAAGCCTCCGACCGTGTCTGGGGTTACGTGTCTGGCTAAACACACACACACCAGTCACCGGCGCCGCTCGCAATTTGATTGCGATTAAATAAAAAGGGCGAAGAGACTGGCGCACACAGAACATAGCACGGACGGAGGGTGAGAGTGCGTTAATATATCTTTACGTGCTAACACAGCACAACCTGCTACACAGCCCTGCTACTTGTGGTCCTGCTGTTACTGCTACTGCTGCTGCTGCTGCTGCTGCTGCTGCTCCTGCTGCAAGCAATCAACTGAGGTGAACAACAGAGGGAGGAGAAACAAAAAACTGAGACGAAGAAGCCGTCACAGAAAACGATATGCCACTTATAACTGAGCTCAAAAGGGACATGGGAACTCCAGACACCTGCTGTCGAAGAGACAATCGAACGTTGTTTTCATCACATACACATACGCGCACCCACGCACAGATCTCACACAGATTTAGGCAGGCCTTCTAGTTGCTATTGTCAATATGATTACTATTAATATGATATTGGTATTAATTCCAGTAATACTAGTCTATTGCAAGAAGAGTTTTCCATAATATGCTGTCGAAAACGGGACCAGCCGGGCAACCTATGGCGGATGCAGTTGCCAGCCTCAAAGCTGAGGCGAGTACACAATCACAGGCATGACGGAACCCAAAAAAATCTACTTGAACTCGGCGTCCATTCGCGCAGTTGACATCCGTTCGATCTATATCGCCCCGTTTACTAGACACAAGTTGCTGTTAATGCTGCTTCTGAAGTTAGCCTGTCGGGCGAATGTCTGAACGTCGCACCACAGAACAGCCAAATGTTAGATTTATTTTATGCCGCCCGACTTGTGGTCCGACGAATCAGTCAATGTGTATACCTTCCTTCTGCAGTTAAACAGCGTCCGATTTAAACAAAAACTATTACAAATGGCGCTGAAACCTCGACCAAGCTAGCTAGCGAAAGAAAAACCATTATTTTCGACAAAATAATCTGTAGGTTAGCCTTTCGCATCCGCTCCGAAACTAACAAACCCATAGTTGATCACAAGCACAGACAAAGTGCTAGATGAACACGGTACATGTAATTACATTCCCACAGCGCCGTTTAACTGAGTTGTCTTAGGGAGGAATCATCATGACGAAAAATTACTTACCAACATCTCGGGCGATGCACACAGTAGACGGCACTCCATTGCGGTTCGTGTAAAAAACGACTGCTATTACTATTGATATTAATCGTCGACAATGAACAAGAACTCCGTTAATAGTGATGAGCGATAGGTTCACGCAGTACTCAGCTGAAATGGTTGGAGCAAGACACGCTGAGACAGTCGTGATTGAAAGATACTGCGGCCACCGCGGTTACTGCTCAACTGTTTTTGGTCAATTAGGTGTCAAGCAAGTTGTTGTCACCCCCCTAAGTCATCACTTTCTTTTCATGTACTTGGAGGTAGTACGCTTGTCTAATACGCGTACCTCAATGACGATTCACATTGACTAGACAAACGATAGGGCAAATTCGTCAACAACATTCGCTATCAGTATCGCTCATTATCCGACAGAGTAACACGTACAGAGGTAGTTTCAGGTGGACCATACGCGGTCTTGCAGCAGAGAGTTTCTTCCTCGTAGTCTCCGTTTTGGTTTAAGAGCGACTACCATAATTGTTGTTAGTACTCCAGCTGAGTTAGGAAACAAGTTAACCAGTTTCTCTATCGCCTTGACGAGAGTTCGTCAGCTCTCCGGCGGCATCTTGTGGCATGGTAAATTTCACATATTCACCTCACAGTAGTTTTATCAGCTCATTTTCTGCCGCTGGACAAACTCACTTGACCAAGTAGTAAAAGATGAGTGGACACGAAAATACGAGTTTTGTTGTTTGTTCGTGCTGGGTTGCTGCTGCTGCTGCTGCTGCTGCTGCTGCTGCTGCTGCTGCTGCTGCTGCTGCTGCTACCGAGCTTTCAGCACACTCCACCACTACCAGCCGCACTGCTGCTACGACGGCTGACTACTGATCACACATACGCACGATCACACACACGCACGCACACGCACACACACACACACACACAAACACATAGACACTGCAACTAGCGCACCGCCGTCCCTGCCGCCGCAGCTGCACCATACGCACTCTACGGGAGCAACTGAGACGAGGTACAGCGCTGCCCAGGCAGACACGAACCAACAACACCCAGACACACACACAAAGCCATCATAGGACCAGCAGCACTGGTAGCGACACCAACAGGCGCTCTCTCTGAGCGTGTACGACAGCGCGGCCACAAACTCTAATGGCTTTCACATTGAACAAAATCGCTGCTACCTAGCGTCGCTGTAGAACGAGGCAGACCACAGAAAACGATGACAACAACCCAGAAACTGAGGAGTATAGAACTTTGTTCGCTTTATTCTCTAGCCGTAGTTTTGTGCTTTGGTAAGTAACGTCAGCACTGTAGTATTCTTGGCTTCACGCTGAATTTAACAGTTAAATGTCTTTTTCTGTATCCGTTCGTCCGACAGTTCGACCTGCGTCTCTGTCCGCGTGTGGGGTTGTGTATATCTGTCCCCCCCTCTCCCCCTCCCTCTCTTTCCTTCTTCGATCTCTCTGAATTCCAGTGGTCTGGCTCATGCGGGACGGTGTGCCATAAAAGCCGTCTAGCGCGCTTGGTCCTGACCGTCTCTTCGCTTGCCTCACTGCATCCGTACTTGCGCACTTTGACGTCTCCTAATGCGCATTTTCTAACATACCAGAACGGCAAAGCAGTAGACACCGACAAGTTCACTCTATTATAACTACGAGGCAGACACACACATAGATACGCGCTTAATACTGCAATTTCAAATCTTCCGTGGAATCCAATACCAGTATAGGGCTAGGTCGGCTGCGCTACTAGACGCCGTGTCCTAATCCTAAACCTGCCTGTACCTCCACTCTTCGAGCGTTCTTTATGTGTCAGCCTGGCAGGCTGTTTGTGCATAGCAGAACTGCACTCGCTTGGACTCTGCGCTGTCAGACAGCTGCCGTAATTGTCTATAGGGATATGGATGCATTCGTCTAGCACGCCTCTCTCCCAGCTGGTCCGACACCGTCTTCTGACTGTGGGTCTTTGCTAGGTACCTAGTGTGTACGCCTATGTGACCGTCTATCTAACTCCCTGCCTAGACGCGTGCGTGTGCAGATGTGATTGCTAACGCCTGACCCAATGTCATCCTTCTCGGCAAACGTGATCTATTTCGGCTTTGCCTGGAAGTTCTGTGTGGAAGTTACGTGTGAGTTTGCTCTGTGTGTGTATGTGGGCGTGTGTGCGAGTGTGTGTGAATGTATGTGTGTGTGTGTGTGTGTGTGTGTGTGTGTGTGTGTGTGTGTGTTTATGGCTATAAAGGTAGCAATCTAGCAAAACACCATACAAGTTTATCTAGACAAAGCTGAATTGTAGTTAGTTCGTATAGGCGAATGTTCTGTACGACTGTGTGGGCTCTTTACTGTACTGTAACTTCCCCTATTGGTCCACTCGCGCTGCAGTATAGTTCACGTACAAAGTGATTTAACAGCGTGGATGTGTGATTTAGAACTATGATGAATCTAATTCTCTTCGTGCGGGTGTACGGTAGTGTTTTGAAGTGCCGAAAAATGAGGTGTACTCTCACCCACAGGCAACACACTCACGTTGGTACACAATCAAACGCATTAAACCAAGACCGTCATTAGTTCGACGTCTGACTGCACAACTATACGCTACCAGCTCAGGCCTATTGTAGCCTGTCGCGGCTGTAGCGGCCCTGGTCGACGAGAGAGCGACAAGATGTATTTCGCCAACGAACCAGAAGAGGGCGCCAGCAGTGTCTATCTCGGCAAGATACAGCACTCTACCATAACGAAAAAGATACAATGCAATTTGGAAATGACAAGCGCAGTTTTATAACAGAATGTCTTATTAATCATAGATCTACTGAGATTCCTGCCAGTGACACATAATACACAACCTGTGTAAATAAATAAAGTTATTTTTATATATCTATTGAGAAACTAGGTACAACATTGACGAAATAAGGCAGAGAAGCGTTGAACTACATGTTTCAGTTGTTACTGCCGCCTTTAAAGGGGCTTGCAATGCGCTCTGTTAGTGGGAGGATGTTATGCGGATGGCTCTAGGTTTATTAGAATTTATTAGAGAATCGAACAGATTCTCGTTAGCAACCTATCAAAGTTATCCGACAGTTATTCGTTACACAGCTGATATCAAGAGCGAGCCAAAGTAAGCGGAATCAATAGATTGTCGCACAAGTTAGCATCGTCTGGGTAATGTAATATATACATATGTTTTAAGGCGGAAACCACGATGGCAATGTTCAGTTATCTAATAAGATGTATGCGCTCCTCTAAAGAAGGCCGGTGCAACTATGCGTTCATTTGATGACTCCAGCTGATTTAGAACAGTTCGTTCGAAGCCATGCAGCCATCTATTGTAGAACCAGCTGATTGACAGGGTTGTAGCGTGGGGAATAGAAGTGGTTTTCCGACTGATCATTTAGAAGGGAAATGCTGCACGGCCATCAACGCCCATTAGAGTTACTGTAGTGGCCTTTGTTTATTTTAGTACATGGTGGTACATGCAGCCGTGACATGTTAAAAGAGCGTAGCATTATAACCTAAGAGAGTATGACGCTAAAAAATTATGAAGGTGGTATGACTAACATACGATGTGCTCCAGCGTTAGGTCCCATGATCACTGATTGAAGAGGTAAGAAAAAAAACTCGAAATAAATTTGAAAATGTCTCAAATCGGTAGTCTAAATTAAAGCGAACAAGGAAAGTATATTTTTTCCATGTTCGAAAAAATCATTAGTACAACGCGATTGCTCCTATAAGTAACATATATGACTGCCCTACAAAAACTTCTCTTCGTCTCAGATTTGCAATTGCGAATGGTTCACGCAGAAAAGTGAAAATGCCCCATCTCTGATAGCTAAAGGAAATGTCCCAAATGTGTGCGGACGCCCTCGGTTGCGCAAACAAAGCTACATTATACGGAACTGTCAATAGTTCGTATGCACTAGATGGAGAAGATTGCTTACAGATATTAAACATTTGCATTTTGCTGCCTCCTGACAGTTTGCGAAGCATCCATAGTTCAAGTTTTTTTTTTTTTGTCTTAAGCCAGTTCATTTGTTTCAAAAATGTGGGATGCATTTAACCTAGAAGACATCAGGGATCTCGCATATTTTTCCAGTTTACGATGTATCTAGCCGCTCAAGATGTGCACCATGTTAGTAAAAGTATTTAGCCCTATGAGAGACTAGCTAAATATTGAAGACAATTATGCTAATCTTCGAAACAACATTTTTCTTTCATTTTTATAGAAATACATATTAAGGTAGTGACGTATGTTTGAAATTTGAAGGAAGGGAATTTTCAAAAACTTCCTATAAAAGTCACTATATGTGGTTTAAAACCCGACGGGTGCCTGATTTTTTTTCAGAAAAACTTTAATGTTATTTGAGATGCACCCAAAAATCTTAAAACTTTAATTAATTTCTCAGAAGGTTGTTTAACATACTAAACACTACTTAGGACGCCTCCATACGAATTCCCTGTTTTTGTGTTGTGATTGATTATATTAAGATTATTTGAAATGCTTGATGACAGATTCGTCTTTTTTTTCATGTTTTCATTGCTTTATAATCTCATTTTTGTATAATCATCACTGTCACCGTCTCTAACCGTTCATCATCCAAAATGTGTGGTATTTCTTAGCAGAAAAGAAAGACTGATTTGTAAATCATGTTCGCTTCAACGTTCACGCCCGAATCGCAGAAGTTCATATTGCAGCTTAATCTCGACCAGAAAGCTGTTAAGGAGATGCTTCGATGTAAGTAGATACATATGTTCTAGGTTGATGCTGATAGGTGAAATTATTTATGAAGGATTTTTTAAGTTTTCACTAATAGTAGATTGTCGAAAAAGTGTTTATCGTTCCTGAGCAAAAATAGGCGCGAAAAAAATCTTGATATTGTTAAGCTAGATACGCGCTACTTTGATGAATGGCCTTCTACCGTTTTTCTGCTAATACCATAATCCTCATCACTGCAAAACTTACAAGTTTTCTATGCGATAAAATATTCTTGCACTTTATATTGAAATTAAATTTCTACCATAAAGTGAGTTCAGTAGAGAATGAAACAGATGGTAGTTTGATGATCCAGGTTTTAGACCACATGGCAAATACATTAAAGTTTTCCATCCAAGTTCTCTCAATGTTTGCCGGGAAGGTAAAGATGTATGTGGTTCGGCATTGTCATAGTGGATGACAACGACACCTTTTCTGTCTACTAGTTCCTGTCGATTTTTTTCGATGGTTTGTTGTAGTTTTCTTAGTTGCAGAAAATAAAAGTTCGAATCGATCGTTTTGCTAGACGGCAGTGATTCATGATACACGACAAAGTATATAGAATGACCTTCTTTGGCGTCAACCTGGACTTTGCCATAAATTCTAAAGCATATTCTTTTATTTTTTTTTATTTGCACATACTTATCGTAGGTGTCCCACATTTTATTTTCTGTAATCTACCGTTTTAGAAATGGCTCGATTTTACTATGCTTCTATAGCGTTTCGCAGATGGATTGATCATAAAATAGATTACTTTACGTTAATTCGTGTAGCACTCAGGTATCAAGCTTCTTTCAGCTAGATTTTTTCAAATGTTTTAAAAGAGTTTGGTGGTGAATGTTTGCGATATCGTGGCTACTCACGTGCCAGTCCTGCTTAATTTCCCTCAACTTTTTTTCAGAATTGACGAACTCTATCAAGAGCATCTTGTGCATCGAAATTTTCAGGACGAAAACGACAGAACCATCTCTGGGCCATTTTTTTCGATAAGGCGTCATATAAAGCGCAATTTTTTTACGGTACTGGACAGCATCTGTGCTGTCATCGTTAGAAAATCGTGAAATATAATGCATTTTCTTGCAAAAATTTTACTGATCTTCAAGGCGCTCTATTTTAGATCTGAATACAAATGTCCAAACAACTTTAGCCCACCTTCTATTGCCGAATTGCAGCTTTCCAATGGCAACACGCTAATCCGACAGACTCACCTTATTTGAGCTATGTTACTTTGAAGCCATTAAACCAGAAAAACGGTCAATACCTTTATAACAACTCGACTGACCGACAGATTTAACTATTTTAGATAAAAACAAAATGGCTGATTATATCGTATAATTTTATTGACAACAAAAATTACTCCTAAACCCTCTACGACAAATAAGTAACCGTGCTTTTACTTTGGGGAGAAATATCTCGTACAGAATGTTGACTAATACTTTTATTTCTGTTACTTTTGGTTTCATTAGCTCTTCCTTACGCCCATTTGCGATCTGTATCGTTACCATTAGAGCTTCGTGGAAAAGCGAGTTATTATGCCGAAATGGTCGAAATCGCCCGACATCAATCGTGTCCACACTACGGTCGATATACTTACCCAAGTGAGTGCCATAACCGTTTTGGATTGAAAAACACAGATTTGAAGTAATTGATTTCTCTTATTGTAAACTATTATAATCGGCATCATTATCTATAGTGACGTTAAATTTTACAACTAATAGGTAGACTGATCCAGTTAGAAGCATATATTACATAAAATATCACAATAACGCATTACCGGCCTTGTCTTCACAGTAGACCCTGTAGTACCCTTATATACAGTGATATACAGGGCTCTATGAGATAACTGATATCCAAGAGACTACCCTAAAATATAACTTAAATATACAGGTTTAGAATCCGCAGTGATTTCTGCTGTAAAACAGCTGACTTGATTCATCTCAAAGATCTCTTGCCCATTTTCACGAGACCGACGGTTATCGCATTCTGTCTGCTCGAGCGTTGTTTATAGGAGAGACTGCATTACATTTATCCGTTGTAACTCTTTCCTTGTCATTTTTTCATAGGCAACACGTCTAACGAGTGCAATATAGAAATCAGTGCCTGCGTTCGTTTGGAGAATCCGGAAGAATTTTACGAGGCAAACGGGCTGAGCCTTACCCAGGGTACGGAGAAAATCGTTCTCATAGCCATCAAACAACTGTCTACTAAAATGCGACACGCAAATGTGTGAGACATTCTTTTTTCTTCACATCCTAGAAAATAGCTAGCCATGACGCCGCAATACAATTTCCGTTGCGATTTACATGAAAAGGGCAACGGCATGAGTCGATCCTTATTTGAATAGCGAATCGCTTGTTTCCAATGCATCTGTTTGTTTGCTTCGTTGAGAAAATAGCTTTCCTATTCGTGTCCAAATACGGAGCTTTGAAGCTGACTTTCTTGCTTCAGGATTGTTATGCTAAGCGTTATATAAGCACACATATCTGACTTGTTTCAGGTGATGGAAGTATGCTCGACAGAGCTCTTGAATTGGAAGCATCGCTAAGCGAAGCAACAGTCAAGTGTGATATCACCTTACACTCTGTTCAGGGTAAGCTGTCATTATATGCTTTCAACTTGATTTTTGTATGTAAGAGCTTACTTTTACGTGTTTTACCTAAGTCACATCAAAGAAACAAAACTAATTTACGTTTTGAACACATTCGCTATCAATTACATCTACATATCTTTTACATAATTAAACACCAATCGTGTCGCTAAATGTGGTAAAAACTGGCATTTTTTTCAATATGTATCAGATTGAAATAGACCAGAGGTTCCGCCAGCTACACATTAATATTACATTCATCATATATTGTGCCATTCTAAGTAGCTTTTTAATGAAATGTGAGAAATCTCAGTCTAAATTAATTATGGTGATATATGTGAGACGAGTTTTTGTACATCTGTTCATGCGACTACTGCTATCGCATATTACTCATGTCGTAATTGTATAAAATGCGTTGCAGCTATGAACTCCTTTTATGCAGACTATAAGAATGGACTCCTCGATATATCATTTCGACAAGCAATACTAGGAAATCCACCTGACCAACAAAACAGGGTTTGTATCAGCACATGCATCTCTTTTTGCAGTGTCACCATTGACTATACAGAGAACGTGTTAGATCACCCTACCTGAAAAGGTTTTAGATTTTGCATACTAATAGGCCGATAAGCAAATGCTTTATTTGCTAGAATCAGTTGCTACCGATAATGTCGTACTGCAGACACGTAGTTTTGTCATGAAATAAACTAGAGTAATAAAAGGATTACTTTTATAATCGCGCATTTCAGGAAGCGGGTCAGCCGCGTTACTCTGTCAAAGTTGGTCTCAATGATCGAATATTCGCTGCAGAAAAGGACCGACTTATGGCTTTAGAAAAAACAGCAGCTGAAAGGAAGCAGAGTGGACATTAAATCTATGAATCATTTATCAATCTTCAAATATTTGTATGGTCGCGTGTTTAGTTTAGTGAAATATATATGTACATAGCGCATGATGCTCCGTTTCATGTTGGAAAGGAATGCATGCTCCACTACAACTTCTACACATTAATTGTACGGTAGCCTAGATTTCCAGGCAAAAGTAAGGTTCCGAGTTAGGTATGATTTTTCACACACAAATAACCTGTGGAGAACAATCGAAAGCTTGCGGAATATATGTAATGACAACCGTTAGAAATAAAAAAACACAAAACTGACAAAAAGTAAATTCTAGAATTCTTTAAGTGATGCCCTGTGGACGCCGAGTGTAAACGTATTTCCAGATCCTGATTGACAAATTGGTCGGAAATAAGCAAAAACATCAACGAGAATTTTTTTTACAATAAGTGAACTAAAAGATCTCAGTTTATAGTATACTTCTCATTTTTGGAAAGTTTATAGTATAGTTTTCATTATTGGAAATAACCTCAGATGCTTATCTCTAATGTACAATTTGGTTTTGTTGACTATGAAGCAAAGCTAAAAGTAACGATTGGATCTCGTATTAAATCAGGACATAGATCTAATGTTAAGTTGATGAATATAAAAGAAAAGTCCGATACACTCGCATGAACTTATTTTTCTAGACCTAGATATCATTGAGTCGCACTAAACTTATTGGCAATTTGAGTTGTAAGATTTATTATAATGGAAATATATGTATCATGGAGAACTCAAGAATTATTGCCTGTCCCTTTGTAGGAAAACGTATGGGAATGACTTTTTAACTTATAAAGAAAATAAAACATAACGTTTACATTAATTTATTTTTTCAATCGATAATCTTCATAATCATATCTAATATTTTCGAGATTTCTATTACACTTCAAAAATTTGCAACACCATATAATATTACATATACAACAATATTCTGCAAAAATATACATGTAATAATAATATATATTAAAAAAATGCATAATGTACCGTATAATTATAAGAATTTCATGAGAATAATGGTAGTATCTAATAATAGTAATAATCATAGTTGTTACAATGGTAATATTTAGGGTACAATGATTGTTAGGTTCTAATATAAGGTCTAAGGCAATAATGAAAATTTTTAATATCCAGATTAGTATAACATTACCATTATTAGTGGTATGGTAACCATATTGTAAATTATCTTAGTGTTTTCTCTTAGAATCTACGTGGATTTGGTTCAAGCCTTTTTAGTATTACTCTGAACTGTACCAGTGTTTGAGCCAGCGACCCATGTTAAAACACCACTGCCTGAGTTCAAATTGTTTACTGCACTGAATTGGGTACTAAGGCTGACAGGCCTTACGCGAACAAGCGCTATAATTACGCGAGAAGTGAGCTAGCTTTCGATTTATAATGCCGAAAAACAAGCTGATAAATATCGCAATAAGAGGGCTCGATATGATCATTTAAATATAGGCTCAATAAATAAAGTTTCCGGTTTCGTCCTTATAAGCCAATTAAAAATTTGAAAGTTCGCACAATTTTAGACACTTTGTTCGGAATTAGGCACACAAGCAGTTTAATGGATATTCATAAAAGCGTCGGTCAATTTTTAGGGACTCGCCAAGGGGTACACCGCTCGTCTAATAAAGCCTACCATAAATACATAAGAAGTAACGGTTTAATAAAAAATAAAATTAATAAATATATATAAAAACCCTGTTCTGACTTTCTACTCGCTTAGATCAACGTATGCCCGTGTTGGGTTCGAAAATTCCGAAATAGGCACACATTGGGTAATGCAATCTCATTGAATGATTTAAACTTTACGACTGAAAGCGCTTTAGCGTTCATTCAGGCGGAAAATGTGTCTTTTCCAAGATTCAAACGCAAAAATCATATGCCCTTAAGTTGAGCAGGTGAATAAGTTCCAACACTGTTGCCACGGAGAGAATGTGGCGCCATCTAGCCTGACCAAATTTGTGGCAGTCTGTCAAATCGCAGGCAGTTCGACTTTCCGACCTGTGCGGTCCGTCGATTTAGCTAACCGATATTGGGTCCTTCCATGCTCTCAGGCATTAGCAGTCAGCTGTGTGTTTTTGACTGTGCAATTGCATAAAGTGTACTCTGAATCAGTGAAATTTGTGCTCATTTGGTCCTTCTGCACGTTACTGGCAAAACGCCATCCACCCACATTTCTTTTTGAATGCCACTTACACCCAGCAGTTAGTCTATTAGAAGCAGAGTTCGCTCAAAGCGATTTCTCACTGTCACCTGTCAGGTGTTCGGATCACAGAAAATACTCTGATTCAACTGGGATGTACGTCATATGAACTAATAATTACTGATTATCACCATTTTGCTACACACGTGATTGTCGTTCAAAATTAAATTAGCCCTCACATAAAGTAGGTAGACATATTGATACGTCTAGGGTTTTGCACGACAAAAAGCTAAAATTACTCAAAGCTTTTGATCTTGATATGCTAGAGATGTACATCTTGTAATAGGTTTTGTTCGAATTAAGCGCCACTAGAGTATGCTAGTTTGTTCTTGCCTGTAAGTTTAAAGATAACAATTTTCACTGAATTGATCGTGTGCTGGTTGTTTTAATGCTAACTGCGCAGTACGAAATCATATAAGAATAATAGAAGCAACGTTCGTGAAAGTGTGACACGCGCGGGACAGGTGCTACCTTCCGTAATGGAACGTAATATGGAGTTGGGCAAAGTGAGGTCGTGTGTAGTTCACTTAACGTTAGCTTTTTAGAATTAGTCCTTATGATACGCGATGTCCCTTTTCAGAAAAGGAGCGAAGTGCGGGTCGACATCCACAGCTGTTGATCTCTACTCCATCAAGTATGTCAATGTAAAGTACACGTCATATTCCGTGGAACAATTCTTGCGGAAACAGCAGTACAGATAGTTAGTTTGCGGTGCGCGTTACCGTTTCAGCTATGGAGCAATACAACCAAAGGAGTCCGGGTAAATTTTCATTAATATTGCGATATCGACTGTTAATTGTCGGTGCTTATCCTCTGTGACTTATTTGTAGAAGTCAGGTTGAGCGCTATAATAAACATGGCTTTGATCACCTGACATGTTTGCGCATATTTTGATTATTTGGCCTGAGATTATTTCTTATATCGGTTTTTACGTCCTGTATCGTCCAACCCCTGGCGTAAATCGTAAGTGTCACGTAAAATCTGTTTCTGTTATAAGTGAGCCTAATGCTATTTTGGCAGACGTGTATTAGTATATGACAGACTTCATTTCGGCGGGATATTATGTGAAAATTAGTATTTTCTGCAGACAGTAAATCGAACTGAGCTTGAACTCGAGCACTCTAGAAACAGTGTGCGCAGCCAGATAGAAGAAGGAATTGTAATCGAGTACAAGCTTGAGTTTGATAAATAGAGAAAGTTATAACTTTTAAGACGTGGAAGAATTACCACAGCGTGTTTATTTAGCGTGACTGCACCTTCATTCTTTTCTAATAATCGCAGGTAATTCGCATCCAGGTCTGTTCATTGGACTTGCATATACATAAAGAAGGATTACCTTTGCATACGAAACTTGACGTGTTCCTGTTTATCGTTATGACGATTACTGACAGCAGTTGAAAGACCACGCTGCATTGTTGAAACGTGCATACATTCATAAAGACTAGGATACTTTTAGTTAAGTGGTAGCACAGCGAAATCGTAAATTTTGAATCTATTCCAAGTCTTTTAAATACAAAAATCAAATATATTAGAAATCATCTCAAAAAATATGACGGAACTGTTTTCGACCCCGGTCTAAACAGTTTTTTTTGCATGGATACGCTGTACAAATGGAAGTCATCGTCTTTTGGCGTGCTGGCACGTTCCTGCATGCCCAGACTGTGTAGAGTGGCCGTAAGAACATCATCAGGCCAAATGCTGTTCTTGAGAACCCTAGTAATTGAGTCTCCAATCTAATTTCAGCTGTGAAACGCCTTATGAAGGAAGCGCAAGAACTACGTGAAGCCACCGAAGACTATTTTGCACAACCCCTAGATGTAAGTTGTCACGCACATGTGCTTAGTATGAATAGAGAAAACGTGTTTTAGACAATGGAGGAGCCCCACCCATCAATATATTTGCTAGATTGAATCAAGACTCAGTGTTTTCTATCCCCCTGGGGGGGATAGAAATCCCCATCCTGTTGGGGTATTAAAGCCGGTGTTGTATCCGTACGTCATAGCAAGTACTAGTGCATTTTACGGTTAACTTATTGGATTTTGGTAGGATAATTTGTTCGAGTGGCATTTTACGGTTCGTGGCCCTCCGGACTCTGATTTCGATGGCGGTGTTTACCATGGCCGCATTATCCTCCCTTCAGAATATCCGATGAAACCACCCAATATCATCATTACAACGGTGAGTATTCCTTCCTGCTTAAGATTCAACATTTGCATCGCGAGTTGTTAACTTTCTTGCCGACCGTCCTATTAAACTGCGGCCCGGAAGCTTCCGCGATCAAGCACCGATCGAGCTCATACTATGATTCAGAATGTTGTAATAACATTGTTTCTTTACAGATTACGTTGAATTTGCGAACCTTGACTTTTTTAGTAGCACTAATAAGCGAAGTATAGCCAGTAATTCTCATTTTTCGTGTAAATACGTACACAGCTAACGAATCGAATAGAGCTAGAATTGAGTTTATATATATGTGTATATATATATATATATGTTATAGTTATTTCTGTTGACAGCCCAACGGTCGTTTCGAAACAAATAAGAAGATCTGCCTGTCGATTTCTGGACACCATCCTGAGTCGTGGCAGCCGTCGTGGTCGCTTCGGACAGCAATGCTTGCCCTAATCGGTATGTTTAACAGCTCCTTTTTTGTTGATTTGTATTATTACTATTTACTAAAAAGTAAGCAAAGGTAAACGAAATGAACATTACATATCCACGGAAGTGTGCTTAGTGGCAGGTGCAGGAAGCATTGATTATTCCAATACCTTTAAATTACTGGTGATCATAATTTGAAGATACTGAGTCGAAAAATGATCAAGCATAGTTTATTAATCAAAATTAGGATGTTTTCGTTACGGGAAAGTCGCTTTCAATAAACAACTGATTCACAAAGAAATGTCGATGCGACATAAAAATTTACTGATTAAAGCAACTGTCCAGCAAAGGTCGAGGATTTGAGTCTTTCTAAAAGAAGCACATCTATATATTTATGTATCAACACGTTAAACTTAATATAAACATGGTGCTTGGAATATACACACTACGATATGTTAAATATTTATTACATATATTGTTTGTGGCAGGCACAGCCAAATCTCCCCTGATATTAAAGTTATTCTTTTTCTTTAAAGTCCTTCTTAAAGTTATTCAGGGTAACTTCAATTTTTTACTTTTTTAAAAATTGGGCATTTGCAGGGTTTATGCCGACGGAAGGTCAAGGAGCAATTGGTAGCCTTGAATGTTCGGCAGAGGAACGTAAGAAGTTGGCGCGTCGCAGCGCAACCTACTCCTGTCCCCAGTGCGGTAACACACGGCAGCTTCTTAAGGTTAGCAAAAATTATTTAATAGTTCACGTATATACTGATTTATTCACCAGTTGGGTAAGACCAAGTATTATCCTATGTATGCAACTACATTACAAGTTTTTACAACTTCACTAAAGACAACTAAACTTCAATGCAAGTACCTACGGAACCCTATATATTAGCTAGACACAAATCCCTAAAATCAAATGATGAAATGATTCATGCTGTATTGGCTAAAAGAGGCCAATGCCGTTGACTCTGGGCCTAGATGTTAGCGGAAACAGCGACATCAACTCGCAAAGCCTCGGAGCAATAAATACATCTTTTTTTGATTTAGGAGCCGAGTTCAGCTGGACCGTCTGCTGCTAACAGGGAAGCGAAAGAGTTGGCGGCCCAGATGATTTTTACATCCGAGACAATCAAATCGCAGGAACCAGGGATAGATATGGTCACACCAACCCAACCCGTTGCAACGCAAACAACTACGTCTAATGGTGAAAAAAACTCTAGTTAGTGTTTCACTTCCAATTGACCTATGCTGCTCGCGTTTGTGAAGCGCATCCTCGTCTATGAGTGAAACAGTCTAATCGCTTATGTTTATTTACGCAAGCTTCGCTATCCAACTGCTATTACACCGCATATTTTTAAAGGGGAGATGTTGATCTAATTCCCTGTTTGCTACATTCTAATTCTCACTGTCTATCGCTCAACTTGACTTGATTGTTAATTGCACAGGTGCGAATCAAGAGCCTGTATCAATAAAAATTTAATATTTTACACCTTGATTTTGTCTAGTAATAGCAGGTGGCGCCACGCCTGAGCTGCCCCCCAGGTCAGTTGAGGTTTCAAGCGAGTTGCGGCAACGTATGCAGCCCGATCAACGACCCAGTCCAACTATTGCTACAGCGGTACCTATGGTACTTACATCTCAGCCCCCGCCGCAAACAACGGTAACAATGAGGCATAGCCTAGTCTGGCTGAGGAGCCAGTGAGGCATAATACATTAAACACACACACATGCGCGCATATAAGTAGCATATATACCTACTTGCTAACCATTACTAGATCATTATATTTAGATGACGTACTACTAAAGACTAATCACAAAATCTGATATAAAAAATAGTTTATTTGACTATGAGAAATAGAACCAACGTTGTCACGAGAAAATTTCAACAAAATTATTTTTAATAAAATGCCACTCGTTGATATTGATAAGATGGACTTAGTATCACACCTCGATTTTTGCATAAGTTTACTTTGAAACTTTGGTAAAACGTGCTGGTTCATTCAAAGAAAATTAAATTATACAAAATGGCTTACCTTTGCAATTTTAATATATTTGTCTTTTTTTCGTTGTGCAGGTGACGGCTGAACCTCGGCCAGCATTTACCATACACGGGGTTCTGGGCTTGATAGACGTCCGTATGGTGCTCAACGTCTTCATGATAATCTTTGCCGCGGGCTTTCTGACGCTGTGCATACGACGTGTCTGTTTTCTCTAGAAACAATTAACATAATGACAAATATAACGAAAACGAATGACGATGCCCAATGATTTTTTTGTGCTGAATCGAAAAAGCTCCGCTGTAAAAGCTATGAAGAAACTCGGGAGTGCGCGAATACCCAAGGGATGTCCCAATAATTCTTAACAATTGTGTGATATTACCTATTCCTACGTTATTTTCAATATTCTAGGTGGGCCACTAGTAGCTGCAACATATTTCGCATTCAATTAGCGATAAGTAGACTTGAGAGCGGATGAGCGATAAATGGAGAGAAAAATAAGAAGACACAAAGAGCGTTCAGGAATCGCGTCGAATGCAGCGCTGTTATACCGTCAAATTTACGTTGTACGATACCCGTGTTACTCCGAATGAATGATCATGGAAACACAACACAGAGCAAAGCAGTAGAGCCTTAATCCAAGTCGTGTCGATGAAATGTCAGCAATGTGTTAAAAAAGGTAGCCCGTTCATCAGTTAGCCGTAAATGAGGTAGCGTAATTGAAAGCTTGCCAAACTGACAGCGTTCTCAGATTATTACAGCGCGGTTAGTAGGAAATTGTCTACCTTCATTCGAATAGCGACATTCAGGCGTAAACGGAGAGACACATTAGAGCATGATAAAGCCTGAAGAAAAGTACGAACGAAGGCCTTGTTAGGCTGCTTTCAGTAATTTAAGTAGAGCTTACTACCAAATTGGATGATCTTCTGATTTCATGAAAGTTATGAGTATGTATGTTGAACGTATCGTGGAGAATAAAAATGAATACACCTTAAGATAATCTCGCGACACTGGCACTGCGGCGAGTCGACCGGCGCACTAAGAACCACAATACTGAAAATGTGATAAAAAGTGTGCAACTTTTCGATACCATTGTGTTGTATATAATACAATGCAAACAAAATGCAAGCGTTCTATGAACTTTATGAACATACCCGTGTAAATATACAACATCCGTACAATAATATTATATACTACAAAAAGCATAATAGAGAAAAGTCTATTAATCGCTTGAAATTGCCGAAATTTATTAGGGAAATCGAGATGGAATCGAAAGTACAAGTGGGGCAGAAAAACGGCAAGCACGAACGAAAAGATGTGGGCGGTCGTCGAAAATTTCTTCCGCTATGAATTGCATTCTTATTTACCTTGCACTTGATTCGTGTTCCTATGTCCATTGGACAGGTCGGAAGCATGGGCCTAGCGAAGAATATCTATTCAACATTATTCAATAATCGTAGCGGTTTTTGAGCACCAAACAAAACAGAATAAGAAAACTTCTACATAATAAGGACAGTCATAGTACTTGAACTAGTAGTTCTAATCTAAAGAACTAGTAGTGGCAGAGCTTTTGCACCAGAAAGAGCAGGTGTTTTTAATCTAAGAGGAGAAATTTGATACCATTGTGGGTGTGAGTACTATTCAGAATAGACAAGTTCAATAAATGATGACGACGACTTTAACTAAATTTCTCATAGTATTTAGCTACGTGGTTTTTCATAAATTTTTTTAAACTATTTTTAGAAGTCTTTTACATTAGCTTGCTAGGGGTTCTGTAGTTTCTTCATAGAGGCTCGTTTACATCAAATGTACCTTTTTATGCTGCTTTAATCCGCATAAACTGAACTGACGGAAGCACGTTAGTTAAAAGAAGAAAAAGTTAGTTTCGTACCAAGAGCATGATCGAAAATCAGGTTGAGAAAATATTCGCTACGTTAGCAAACTACTGTGATAAACTTAATGGCACTTCGTTGTCTTAATTTTTCGGTGCTATCTTTCTGGTAGTGTTTTATCATAGTAGTTGATCAGTATTTGGAATTTACAAATCAGAAATGAGCTGCTTTTAGGCTCGAACGCAAAGCGCCCGGTCAAATTGGTCGGTAACAGCGAGCTAGTTTAGGCCGTCAAAACATCATTCTTCGTGACCGGCGCGTGGAATAAGTCAACACTCGAGCCATAGACAGTACCACTTCGAAGTCGTTGCATTAAAATATAGGTGATAATGAGTTCTACCCGCAAATTTCTACCAAATTGCACACGTAGCATTTCAAAACTTAGCTTGCACTGCGGTATTGCGAACGAGGAATGCCGCCGTGATGAGGTCCTTGAGGAGATACTTCAGATGAAGAAAGTCATCATTAATGACTTATCGCAAAGTTCGATCCTTTTAAGCAAATTACAAAAGTAATGACAATCGTAGCCAGATTTTTTCTGTACTAGTCAGATGCAAGTAAGGGAGGCACCCACAAGTAAATGTCTTTCGGTAGGCTGATGGCTTATTAAAAATATCGGTCGGGAAAACCCAGCTTATTTTAAGCGCGTTTTGAGCTTCAAAAAGTTTCCTGGAAAATACAATCCCTTAACTTGGTGTCTGAATCAGCATTACTTACTAAAGAGCTAAAACAATGGCTTGGTTTAAAAGGAGCAGAAGCGTATCGTCAGTTTATTTGCAAATACACACTGAAAACGAGACACACTTGTTTTCAACTTTTCCACCCCTAACGGGTTACAGATTCATTCTGCATACGTATTCATGCTGCAAGGAACGTGATACAGCCTATCGACATGGCGTATCTAGATACGCAATGAACGGGTGATCTGCCATAAACTCGATTAACTCTATACTGAAGCTGACTGCTGGTCTTAGTACTTTCAAAAGTCTCACACTCGAAACCTGTAGGGTAACTTCCTCTCTTAGTGTAAAGGCGCACTTGTAAAACAGCCCCCAACACCTTGTTATGTTTTATGCAATATGTGCTACTAAATATTTATTAAAAATCTTATTGACTTTTATTTAACTTACGACTTCCGAATATGAATGCTTATATTGCACATTTAGTTCACAAAAAACGCATAGCTAAGAGATAACGTAGACAAATTTCACAGCCTCATATTACAAGCTCATCGTTCTTAATTTGATTAAAGATGAATATCTTTAAAGACTTAGGCATTGACCCTACGTACTTTCGCTTGGGAACCGTAGTCTGTATCAATAAATTTGTCTGCATGATTCGGTGTTAAGAGCTTGTCCGTTTTAAACTCGGCATGCTTAGGTATACAGTACATACTTAGTTATAAAATGAATCAAATTTCGCGCCGCCTACCACACATTCGTCTCAACGCATGCATTCATCCAGGGCAAAACATCGCGGCATGAGCGCGGAGCGAAAAAGACAGCCTTTAGGTGTTTTCTGTCAGTGTTTAACGAAAAAGTAAGTTTTAGAAAAAGATTAGTTCAAGTTGTTAGAACTTGCCTAAACTATAGATTATTTCGCTAGTGTTGTGCGTTTTTCAACACAGTGTAAACTATGCACTAAGAATTATGATTGTGAGCGTGCGGTACTTACTATGGTTACTATGGTAGCATATTACTATGGTAACAATAACGTAATCTTTACTGCAATACTAACTTAAAAAACATCAAGACGGCAAGATAGAGTTAATGAATGCTGTACACAGAATGAACTTTTCCTTGTTGTATACATATAAACGGATCCATTCGTGCAATACATATTATCATTCGAATAAGAAGTGTAATAGCTTAAAATTACTGTGCGAATCTGGTTTAAACTTAATTTGACCCGATAGTAGTAAAAATGGCAATAGGTAAAACATGAATAAACCGATAATCTCTTTAAGAGAATCAATAATTATAATTATCAGCTGTTCTATCTAGAACACAAAGTACATGATTTCAATTTTGCATGCGATGTTGCCTACGTTAAATAATATTGGTTTTAGATTATCTGACATGTAGTGAAAAATCCTGCTAAGTTATACAATTATATATAGATTGCATATAATAATGAAAAAGATACTTTTCTATTTGGTACATTTATGTAAATATTCCTAAATTAAGTTAACGTACGACGTATCTATTACTCATAAATGCGCTGCTTATATAGATGTATCCAGAATTAGGCGATCTCAAAAATCCTGTGCGTGTTCACCTATCATCAGAACGTACCTATATTCATCGGGTACTGGACAAGCGATTTTTTACGCACAACTTGCAGATTATCATTCCTGGAGGCATAAGTGTGCCTCAGTCGCTCAGGTAACCTTTTTTGAGTAAGCTATTAAGATCGAGACGATTGTTATTATTATGAAAATTTAAAACTGTAATTATAATATGCTAACACTTGTCAACCGCATGCCACATCCTGTCAATTTTTGCAAAAAGATTTTTTCTTTTAATAAAATATGCGAGACCAATATATTGCGTTCTATAGTGCGTTTCGCACGGAACGGTGTGTGCATTAGCTTAGTTTACAAAGTATCTCGTTTGGTGTAATCTTAGTTGTCCTTCGGTCGATAAGATCACTTGCTTTACTATAGAATATCGAAAAATAGCATTATAAAACGCTGTAGGTTACTACATAATTTCTTGATACAAGTTCTGCTGTAACAACTTAATATTTCAAGCACAAATAGATAAATACTGAATTTATTATAACTCTGTGAAGATAAAGAACGTCGCATGCCTGCAAAATTGCAGGCAAATCCCTGAACCATATTATCTTCTGCGATCTGTGCCCCTTGCGACCCTCCTGGAATATGAGTTCCTTACTGCTTTCGTTGGTCAGGGGCATCTCACCGTCATCAGTGCTTACGGATCGAGCAGGTAGTTATCAATAAAAGTTGCCACTTTGCCAGTCTAAAGAATCAGTTGTTTTAATTAAATAATTCTATCAAAAGCATGACAAACAGCCATGTAATGTGCTTAAAGTGAGAATATGATCCATCTTGGTTTGCTAGAAGGCAAAATGAGCCTACCAGTCTTAATGTTTTATTGCCTATAAATTTCTCAATAAATTCTTCGAAATGTGAGTTTCTAGGGAGAATTCAATGGCAATTACTCCTGATGGCAAACTCAACCTGAGCGTGAGTCCTCAGCTGTATTACAGGTTGGGTCTTGAAGCTATTCGTACGGACCAGTTAGTTAGAAAAAGAGGCTTCGATCCAATTCTCAAGAAGGTGATTTTCTAGCTTTACAATCCTCACACATGTGCATCTATTTTAGAAACTCTGCATATTATTAAGATTTTCTAGGCCTGAATATGGAGGGTATTAGCAAATCCAAGTCCTCGGCTCCACAAATTTAATTTATTTGGAATATTTGCTTAGGCAATTAGTTTTGATTGAGAGAGTTCTTAAACACAAGAAAGTAAGTAGTGCCATATTAGATTTAATCCCCTATTAAAATTTTATTTGCCTGATTTCAGCAAGAGAAAGCGGTAGTTGATCGAAAATCATTCATACTTTAACCGTCTTTTCTTATTATTGTAAAACACTAGAAAACAATGAGTATGCAATATGCCTACAAAAAAGAATCTCGTTCTGTATTTCTATTACCTGTGATGAACCTTCACTTTCGGGTGCATGGTACAGTTGGAGTTCGACTTAAAGGACAGTATTTTCTATCCGGGCCGAAAGTTTTACGATCGTGTGGTAACCGCAACGAAACGCTGCAGACTGACCTTCGATGTGCTACTTCATTGGCAGCCGTCTAAGGCAGGCGTGTCTCCAGAATCTCCTGTTGTATATCTCAAAACCCATCTGCCTGAGCTCGAGTACTCGCTTTGTAATTGCAGGTTAGTTTACAGGCAATTTTTTTTAAAGTAGATAGATTTTTGGAAAACAAGTAAGTTGTTGCTATCAACGTATTTTTGGTTGGTATAGCCATTGCAACATAACTTGTTAGTTAACGGATGTGCCTTTTTGTATTGAATGTATTGTATGGAATCTATTTCTGTATAAACAAAATGTGTTATTAACCTAATCTCGTGTATTTAGGTACAATTTCCGACAACTGTTCGACGTAGCTATTCCGCAAATGAGAGATGTAGAGTTTTTCGACTGGATGGGTGTTTTAGCCGCTGGAGGAAATCTACCGGTACGTATCAACGAATAGCCTAACTATTTGAAAGCCAAAACTTGTCGTAATTCGCGAGTTCGTGTATTTTTCGTCGTATATGTTTTAGAAAAAAAAAACAAGTTGAACAAAACGTTATGGAAACAAAAGATCTTAAAACGAAGCTTGAATTCTGCAAACATCTGTTGATTATAGGTGGAAGGTGAGTTGCAGTCATTGCAAGTCGTTGTCGCACAGTGGACTGGACTAATCACTCGACACGCTCTGCAGAACATGCTCGCAAAACTTATAACGCTTCTAGGATCCAGCCCGTTCATAGCCCTAACATCAGTAGGATTTGCTTCTGACCCCACATTACAATCGCCTAACGCTGTCTACAACATGGATTCGACGTTAAGCGTTTGCTTTGAGGCCGGGGGAACAAAGTGTGCTATGTTTGAATGCCCACCATTGTAGTGAAAATAACGAGTAGTGCTCCAGTGGCAACAAAAATCTCCCTTCGCAAGCGCATAAACACATTTTAAAAAATGTGAAAGACGACATGAAAGAGACTGTATAGTGTAAACAAATGAGTTCCTATTCATACGTATGGGATCGTATAATAAAGCACTTATTTTTGTAGAGAAATCTTAACAAACTATTTCGCTTATAAACCGATCATACCAAACGAAATATATTGCTTCAACGCTTGCTACATTAACTCTGGGTTATAACGTACGGTTTTTCGAAGTAAAGATAGAAGAATTCTGTGCTAATCCCTTTCTAAATGATAAGGCTGCAGAATATGATTACGCAGTAAAGCTACAACTGTACATATATCACTCCTATTAATAATGGTGAAAATGAATCTATTGCTTTGATTTTCTTCAACTGCTGTAAGTTTTGTCAAATGTCTATCAATTCTCGTGAACTCTTATTATATAGCTACTAAATTTCTAAGCAAACTTGGCTACTCTGTTCTCATTTCTTTGTTATTTTATGTACAATTTGAACTCATTCTATCCGTTATCACTAAAGCTTCTTAGTTCTAGGCAAAACCTTAAAATTTAATAGATATTTGTCATTAGTTATCTATCTTAATTGATTTCTTATTCATCAATAGAGGTTTTCCAACATGTAAATTACGTTCGCTCTATTATTGTGTATTTTATCAATTTTTGAGCCGATTGTATAAAAAATAATTAAATTAAACAGCTTATGCTGCTCGACAAATTAGCTATTCCATAATTTTTTCGAATTACTATTTTCGAATATATCTATCTATATGCACTATTTTTTTTTAATAAATGACAGCTTGTTAGATTTGATTTTAATAAACCTTTGTTTTATTTATTATATTTACACATTTTGATTAATCCTCATCAATTTTGAAAAATCGTCATTGGCCATTCCGTTTTTATTTTTTCTGACTAATACTAGATCATATCTTATTATTTCTTGGATTTTTTTCAAATTTCTGAAAGATTTGAAATTTTTCAGCGAAATAAAAGTAGTTAAATAGTAGAAGGAGTGAATTATAATAGCAGGATAGCGTGAAAGCATTTGTTTAGTTGGCACATTAGAGCATAGGCTTTTTGCCTCTCTGTATTTTCATTAAGAACAAGGTCAGCTTCTGGGATATTACCAAGAATATTCTACTTGCCGGGCTGATCTGGGCGTAATGAGGTACCTCAAGCAGGGATCATCGTCGTGCGAGTCGGGAAATGCTCGTATTTCCTCGTAAACAGCAAGGCAGCATGCGCTTTCCGTCCACGTTGTCTGTTTTGACCGCTTGGTGGGCCTTTGTGACTTCTGCTTGTTATTGCTGCTGAAGAATGTCTGGTGGACCCATAGCGAAAGCAGGGTCAAGCCGCCCTCGCGGTCTCTGGCAGCACCGATTCTCTTACCACCGCCGCTGCAGCTGCTATTTCGCCAGTGACTCGATCGTACTCTCTCTTTCTCTCTGAGAGGAGGGCAGAAGCTGATGAAGGAGAGTTTTGTGTCGGGGGCCGCCATCGCTGCTAAGTCACTTCCAAGCAGTTCTTTGGTGTGAGCATCGTCCCTTGTTCCGCTAGCGGGGGTTCCTCCGTAAACCGAGCTTGTTCGTTTCTGTTCGGCGAGGTGCCTTTCTTCAGCTAGAAGAGAAGGCAGCGTTCGTCTGCTACAGACCCGCCGCTACTTTCTCAGCTGCCCCTCGCCCGTAGCGGTGGGTCTACTGCTTATGGATCCCCTCCAGGATTTCGCTCGCTAGCCGTCCTTTGTTCGAGCTCTATGCGTACAAGCGAGGGAGGGTTCTTCGTTGGCGGACGACAACGACGGGTGTTCGCAAGATGGCTCATGTAGAGTGGCGCCAATGGTAGAGTTGTTCTGCGCCAGCTGCTCTGCTGCCGCTGCCACGAATCTTTGTGCTGCTGCTGCTTCTGCGGCCGTTGTTCACTCTGCTGTTGTTGTTGCAGTTGTTATTGTCGTCGTTGTTTTCTCTCACGGTTCCAGTTGCTGTTGTTGTTGTTTCTGACATCGTTGTTGCTGTCGCCGCCGCCGCCGCCGCCGTAGCAGCCGTTGCCGCCGCCACCGCCACTGTCGTCGTCGTGTGACTGCGCTCTGGTACGATGTGGTTGCTGCTCGCAAGTGGATGCGCTGGAGGCGCGGTGCACGACGCTGCTTAGCGCGGTGTCGCGGCAAGTGGTGTTCGTGCGACGATAAGTGAAGTGAGTGCGACGTCGAGCGCAACGGTAGTGGCAGACGGGGCTGCCGACGGCGTTAGACAACGGTGCCGCCGTTGTGTTGGTCGTGGTGGAATAGCCTAGCTCGCAAGCGCCTACTGCTTCTGCGGTTCATCTTCAGGCCGTTTCGGCCTGCGGGTGCTGCTGCTGCTGCCGCCTGCGATCTGCAGGGCGCTAGCGAGCTGGGAGCGGCAACCAGGCACGAAGTCACGCAGGCATATCGAGCACTGGTCGCTGTAGGTGAGGCAAAGCCGAAACCTGAGCGGAATTGGCAATAGTTGCTAAGAAAGGCAACGACACAGAAAAACAATAGGAAGAAGCACGGAAGGAAGCGGTGCAGAGGCAAGCAAGAATTGCCGTGGCAGCACTAGCACTTTAGAGAGCACGGAAAGTAGCGCGTGAGTGTTAAAAAAAGTGTTGAAAAAGTTGTGGCCTCGCTGCTGGCGGTGTCGAGTGCACTCATAGAACAGAGTGGACAAGCTTAAGACGTGCAGCTAGAAGGGGGTTGTGGTCGTGGTGCTCGCGCTGACTGCGTTTTTGGCTGCTGCCATACTACTGTCACTGTCACTGCACCGTTGTAACCCACTGCTACAATTACTGCTTCTGCTGGTGCAGCTGCCAGCAAGGTCTAATCTGTCAGCTGCTGCTACACGGCGCGAATAGCGGTGAGACGAGCGAGTTACGGCGATCAGTGAGGTTTGCCAGTGAATGAAAAGACCTATCTTGAGCTGCTTGTGTTTGCTAGCTGATATCGTTCGACCTGACTTGTCGACCGCCGACGTTGCGAAGTGGCGGCCGAAACAGCTCGGACGCAGAAGCGGCAGTGTAGTGGAAGATTATTGCAGCACAGTCAAAGTTAGTGGTTGAAGTCTGAGTCGAGTCGGAAATAAAATGGAAGTGTAGCAGTAGCAGCGGCAGCAGCAGCACTTCTGCGCCACAGTTGCGCGGGGCAGTCGGTCATAGCTGTTGAGATTAGAGGAAGCGCATCTGTGCTAGCGAATGTTTTGTGTAAGTGTGGGCCATAACGATCCATAAATGGGATAGTGATGACGGTGGTGATAACAGCGATAGCTAGGTAGTCGTTGAAGTAGTAATATAGGCAATGCGTGATCAGGTCTAGTGTCCGTGCGTGTGTCTGTGTCCTCATTGTATGCCTTATCGGTATCTGATTCGTGCATCGCGCACCCACCAGCAGTGGCGGCGAGGGCACTAAGGCAGCAGCCATGACCGTGAGGGAGCCGAACGGTAGTCCCAGCAGCAGTAGCAGCACAGAAGCACGACGACCACGGCCGTGGACAACGGACAGCCGAAGAAGCAGACCGCACGTCCGCGGGAGCGGCAGCGGCCAGCCGCGCTGAGGGCTAGCTCGGTGGCGGCGGCGGCGCAGCGCCCACATGGCAGGAGGCGGCGGAAAAGACTTCGATTCGCCAGGTAAAGTGTACCTGTGGGTACGTACAGCGCTTCCAGTATACTTTTACTGAAAGTGTCCACTAAAGGGAACAGCATTATTACAACAAAAAGGTCTGCAAGGTCGGCTTACGCTGACGGTAAACACAAATCTATGACGTTGGAACGCTGTGGTACTCTCAGTGAAAAATGAAATGCCTCCTCGAGAGAGTAGATACGTGGTTTAAAACGAGCAATGAGTGGCAACGAGAGGTCTGTATGGAATAGTGATCCAATGACGTTGAATACAATTATTTATTGTAATATTAATTATTGGCATAAAGGTACTCATTTTTCGGTTATGATATTCTCGAGACAGTGTATTTAGATGAAAATTCCAGCTTTCGAACCAGTTCTTGTCAAACAGGTTCACGAATGCATCCGACCTTACCACTAGAAAAGCACTCGGCAGGCCTAGTCGGAAACAATATAGGTTAACTGGCGCCAAATTGCATGCGTACCATGTGGTAGTAGTAGTAGTAGTAGTACACATTGTGAAAATATTTATTGCGGGATTCAACCCTACAGACGGGCTAATTAATCATTAGCAGTACAAGTTGCAATTGCCTCCTAACAATCCGCATCCTTGATGTATTTTATTGTGCTGTATCGGCCTTCTTTTATGCTCATTACGCTCTATTTACATAAGCCAGAAATCCTTCAATTTATTATTCTTCATATATTATATTGTAGATATACCTACACAGTTGAGTCAGCGTAGGATAGGGCAGGATTGGTGCATTTTTTGTAAAAATTATTTATTTATGTCAGCAGTTTTTACAGTTATGTATGCTATTCAACCATAAATTTATAATCGAACTACATTAATGGAGTCTAACAGTGCCCCTGTAATGGTTATGATCGTCTAACAAGCGACTTTATCTTAAATCTGTCAGATTCAAACGTGTACACAATATATGTGTGTGCACGAAATCGGCTAACAATTTTGCCTTCAATAAAGGCAAGACGTAATGTTTCGCAATCAATGAAATTAGAACCTAGTTCATTCGCTCTACCGATGTAGGTGTTAATGTCACTCAATCGGGAAGACACGCTCTGCTAGCACTAGTATTACTTTATATTAAGAACACGTCCGCTTTACCATAATCGTGTAGTTTTGTTGCTGTTGTCATTGATGTCATACCTGAGAAGAGATGGCCTTGTAATGTAGCGTCGTGTACATGGACTAACACAGCATGGAGAAACGAACAGATTGACTGCTTAAGGCCGTCAGTTCTTGTACGGAAGGTCTGGGATTCGGTTTATCGTATTGGCCTGGCTTAGCAGCACTGACTTTGATATGGGATCTTCTGGGGGATGGAGGCCGTAGCTTAAAGGTTAGACCATATATATGCGTTTGCAAGGCCCTGTACATCGCGCTGTCCTTCCCTAACCAATCTGTTTAGCTTTCAGAAAAGGGCAGCAGCAAACTTAAAAGAGGTAATAATAAAGAGGACTCCGCCTAGTTAACAAGGGAAAGAGACAGCAAAAAAGTAAGGAAGCAGACTGGTGCTATCACCACCGCCACTGGAGGCCACGTGGACGGGGGTTTGAATCGGGAAAATGAAGGCAAGGTAGTTTATATACATCTGGTAGCTATAAAAGAGACCGCAGCCCATTTTTACCGTTCGGTGACTCTTCATTAGAGCTAATGTTGTTTTGACGGAGATGCTCTTGCTTCTGCGACAACAAATTTTTGATAATAAAAGAGAGAAAACAACGGAAATAACTTTTGCGTTAACGTGGTAATAATGGTAATTGACAAATCATCATGGCTGCATACGTCATAATTCAACTAATCCACAAGGCATTTGCCACTTTCATAATTTGCAGCGTATTTATCCCTTACGAAAGGGGCAACGCAACCATGGGGATCGTAAGCACGAGACAGTTGATACAATATTTTATAATTAAAAAAAAATATTGTTAACTATCAAACATTAAAGAATATTGTCTATAGTTGTCTACTGTGTCTAGAAAAGAATTGTGATGAACCCCTCTTGCACAACTCTCGCTCTGTAAAGACTTGACTGGTTCGAAGGAGCTTCCGTTCTAGGCTCGTAAAGTGTGCAATGGTTCCCGCGGGCCGCGTATATTATGCATAGCAACATACTAAACTGGCAATAATGTCGACACCAAGCCGAACCTATGTACGCGCTATAAACGTATCGAAAATGGCTATAAACTAAATACTAATAGGACCATTATAATAATTATCATTACACAATTATAGATTTCGCATTGGGGTAAAAACGCATTTATAATCGACTAAAGTATCATGTTAGCGTGCTGACAGGTCGTCGGAGAAACTTGACCATTAGCATAAGATGTTGTACTGTGTCAATTCCATTGTGAGAATATATGATGCGACAGATGGTCAATAACGTGCTTCTCATCAATTCATGAAGCTTATCTATATTTTACTTGAAAAGCATTCTTGATCTCAGTACACAGTGTCTTCTTCTACAAGTCAAGTCGCCATACTGTTACGTGTTTCGTAACTTAATGTAAATGTTTGCCAACAGTGAAGGTTCATAAAAACTAATATCACTACAGGGCTTTAAAACAGGACGAGGTGAAACAGGACTCGATAACACTGCTGGCTGCCTTATCTTTCTATACTTCGAATTTTGTGTCCAGCATCGTCGTTAGAAATGTCGTCAGACGGCTGGTTCCCAGCGCGGAACAAACCACGTGTGTTTATTCCTGGATTCGAACCTAGACCACACTTGCATCACAATCATTCTCATCTAATATTAAACATATTGATGACGGTTATAAAATAGAAGACAAAACTAGAAGCCTCTAGCTTTGAAGGAGGGACCAAGATAATAAACCATTATTTGTTTCCTTTTCGTCGATATGGGTCGATAATTGCGCCGATGTTTATATAGTATGCCTGACAACTTTGCAACCCGTTTGCCCCGAGCAAAAAAAATATTTTAGAATTTTAATACAATCTGAACTGATTTTCACCTAATCGCTGCGAGTTAGCAAACAGCGAAATAGTATTAAAATGTATTTCATTATTGAGCTTTAAATAATACAAAAGCCCTACACCAGTAGGAACGCATCAGTAGGCAAGTGGTACTACGTAATTTAATGGCTCTTTTGCACAATATTTCTAGCGTAGTTGTTTGGGAGCACGTTCTATTTTGCCTTACAACGGTACGTCCTGTTAAGAGATGATATTATACATTGTTAGATACGGATTGTAATGACCAAACTTTTATAACCTTCGTGACATCAAAGAGACAACGCGTAGTAATGATTATGGCTTCGATCGTCCACACCGGAAAGACACGTTTTAACAGACTCAATTATTTTGAAATTTCAATAATCGAACATGTATTGCTAGGCTAACCGGTACATGCCAGAATTTTGCCATTGACTAAACGCTAGCTAAATGTAATATACAATAACTAACACATTACTAAGGACAGTATCACCTCGTGGTTAACTAATTGGACCTTTAATGATATTTTGTAGGCTTCTTTGTATTTCACTGCCGTACTGTTAGGCACAGCAACAGCGATTACCAATCTCTTCACATACCATATAAGCAACGATGGAAAACATCGTTTGTGTACGAGGCAACACCACTGACGTCCATCTGCGCGCATCCGGCTAAATAAAGGGTGTAGCTTCTTCCATCATTTGACAGGAAAAAAATTGCGTTGATTTCTCAAATGAACGACCTCGACTAAACGGGGAAAACATTTCTATGATACTACGTGCTTCGAGAATGCATTGTAAGCGCGTTATAGCTCCCTCTACCACTTTCTCTCTCTCTCTCTCTCTCTCTCTCTCGCACACACAAACATGCATGCACGAACGCACGTACGCACACACACACATACACGTGGACGATGTGACTCGCGCGTTCTCAACTCTTCCCGTTTCAGTTGCACCTGGCATGTGGATTTGGCCCCGCGGCATTGCAATAGGTTCCCTTATATCCATATCCCGCATTGGTTTCTTCCAAATTGGAGAACCACAGCTGGGCAAATACAATGACGCCTCATGTATATATTGGTTGCCTGATATGTTGTTATTAGCTAGAGTCGTCTATAAGCAAGGCAGAGACAGATTCATCGATAGATATATAATGTTATGTACAAACATACAAATTGCCTAATCTCCTGGCAGGTATGTTTTTCCGTACACCCATTTTGTTTGTGTGAGTTCATAATGGGTGCAGATATTATCACCGTGGTGTGACCTCGGTCCTACTTTTGGTTTCGGGCAAACCTATGGGGCTCCCGTATTGCAGCAGAGAACCTTTAATGTCGCAGTTAACTGGGCAGAAAATCGTTTGGCCTGTTGATACCAACGGCCGTAAAGCGGCTTAGAGAAGCTCGATCACTACGTTGTCCGGGTATTATATGTGCACACGTAAAGTTGCACCCTACCACTTGAAAGCAATTATCTAACGGTCTGTAATTATAAACCAGTCACTTGGCCAAATGAAAACGCTGGAATCATATACCCTATTGAACAATTACTAGTAGTATGGACCGAGTCGGATTGAGTTATCAAACGTTCGTGCATCCGCCAAATTAGAGTAAATATCTGGAATCTCGATGAATTCTTAATGAGATGAGCTGACGAAGAGTTCGATAAAAGCCGGGAAGCTAGCTAAAGTTTTGGGCTTTGTGATCATCGTGAAATTCATATGTTATACGCATCAGCGTATCATAGAAATAATTAAACTGTTAAGTGTTATTAAATTAACTCAAATATGAACAGCGTAATCATTGGACAATAGTGGATCTGAAAAGCAGTATGATGAGTACGAATACCATGTAGTTCTCTGGGCATGAATCACTTGTAATAATAACGTGACGCGAGGCACTTTACTGATTTTAAGTATATAAACTATACTGTGAATTTTATGATCATTACATACGTATAAGACTATCTTAACAATTTGAGTGCTCTCACTTTGCTGTTCTCTATCGTTTATCTTCCCACATCGTACTAAGCAGTTACTTCAGCGATGTAAAATAAAGACTCTCAAACTTTGAGACAGCTGAAGAGTACCTAACATAGCGTTCACAAGCATTAAGCGTTTTCTAAACGCGACTTGAGATTGTCAGTGAATAGTTACGCTTTCGGTCCAACATCAATGAATTAGAGGGACATTTAGTGCGAAAGGGCCACTAGTTTTGTTGTGTTATGAGTTCCGCATGCCGCACCGTCTGTTTGACTCTTGAACTGTTCCGCTGCCCCCACTCAGTAGCGTAGCCGTTAGCCTTTTCACAAATTTTGCAGCTGCTGCTGCTTCGGAAACTTCAATTTCTTTAATAGACACTGAGACAAGCGTTAAATGTAAAGCAGCCCGGACGTAATAGCGACAACGATATGATGAAGTTCAAGTGGAATAGAGTAAACAGATGGAATTATGTTCTAACACAAACGTGCGTTTAAAAAGACATCCGTTTAGCTCATTCTTATCATTTCTTTAAGAGGTTTTAGCTGTCCTACTATTGTCCTCCGATACCATTCGGTTCTTCTTAGGGGCGAAGAGAATTTTCTAAAAATTCTGTGAAAGTTATCATATCAGTTCTAAAGCTATTTTATTATTTAAAGACCGAATTTTTTACCGAAAGTTTAATTATAAAGTTTTAGATATTCCGCGAGAGTAGAAAATATTGATTTATTACCGAACACTCATATACAACTTATGAGCTTTGTTTCGAGGAGATCTAGATTTGTAGCTTTAAATATAACACCAAAAAACTAATGGTTTCCGAGACTCCTCTGATTGCCACGTTAGCTTGTCAGTGAATTGCTTCAGGCTGTTTTTCGGGTTCCTCTGTACGAAAACCGGCAGCCCCTTTAACGATGGCTGGCTATTACGCAGATGGAGCTTTGTCCTCGTGATGATGTAGTAGTCACGTATCTACTAAACTTAGATGCAAGTGAGACGAACTAGATTAGAATGACTTCCATTTTTCGTTTGTCTGTAGTACCTTAGTCACATAAGAGATAATTATCCAGCTAGGGTATGACCTATGAAAAAATGTGTATTTAGTTATATCGTTTATACATACGCGGTCCCGTTTCTGTAATCACAACCGAAAACTGAAAAGTGTTTCTTCGCCATCTGCCAAATGTCATGTGTATCTCGTTTCTATTAGCGTTATGGATCGTTGTGGAAGTCTAAACCCACACAGTTAATCAATTTTCCGAGATAATTTTTTCAAAGAAACTGGCACATTGCCGTGTTTGCCGCCAATAAACCACATTAGCTTGCCAGTAGTGATCCCTATCTCTTAAATAACTAAGAATGACAAGCGTTTCCGGGGTGTTGGTACATTCACAAAACAAGATATGGCGTCATTGTTGCGGCATTCTTTTCACCTCACAGTTTTACATCGTAAGTGCAGTACATGTACTCTGTAACTAACGATTTATGGCTTCTTCTTATTTACGGAATCGTTCTGGCGTATACCGTGATTTTTTTAAAGAATATGGCACATTTGGTCAAATAGCTGGTTTTTTTTTACTTTGCGCAGCTTTGGGGCAGCCACTGGTCATTTTAATGGATCAAGTTCATAGCGATCAATGTTATATTTCGGAAACGAGTTCCTCATAGCCAAATAATGAAGTTATTTAAAATAACTGAGCAAAAGGGCGAAAGAAGCGTTTCTCTGTATAGTGTGCAATCTCTAAATTGCCAATAAAACTTTTTTGAGTCGAACTTTTCATATATATATATAGTTAAAGGATTATTTGTTTTCTTGTAATGGCATTTCTCAAGCGTTTTTTTTCTTTGACAAACAGCAGTGGGCTTGCACACTACAATACAGGGTGCTGTCTTACATTTATTAAAATAAAATTAGAAAATTATACCCACTAATCTTCTATTAGTTACCCTGCCGAACGTTTGATGTCTAACTGTGGCAAAAAAAGATACTCGTCTTTTGTGATACCTAGTAGGTAGTTAGACAAAGCTTTTTCGGTCTCTTCGGGCTATTTTTGCAAAATTCCTACGAATCTGACGATCGCCTGATTAATTTACAGCATCTTAATACCTTAGCTTTTGTTCGACTGAGTTTGAAACAATATTTTTCGCTACAGGCCAACTCAGCCGCGCCATTTCTGAACCCGGCTGTAATTGCCGCTTTAGCGAGTACAGGCTCCGCCATTCCTGTCGGATCTCACCGTTGTGCGCCAATTCCTGCTGTGTCATGGCGGCATCATATATGTCACGCAATTCTATTCATTCAAGTAGCGTTCTACTCGCTTGGTTTGACCCACCGATAAGCCGGAGGGCTGTCTCTATTCTACGAAGGACCAACGATTATTTCAGTTTATTTTAGCAGCAGTCGTTCCTGTGCAATACAACATCTATATAGCCTTCAGTCTGTATAGTTTTGACGTACAATGTCAAAACAAGGTGTACATTTGCTTTACGGGTGAGCGCTCCTTCTTACAGTCGTTCAGGGGTATATGCGATTTGGGTGCTGGGTTGAGCACCGCCGCTGGCCGTGAGCACAGCGCTTGTGAGCAGGGCAGTAAAACTAACGACTAAAAGAAGTGCGCTGATTTGGATCGTCTGCAAAGAAGTAAGTGAAGTTAAAGAGTTTCACCTCTATTAGCAGAAAAACTGGAATGAGTTATTTGCGAGAATGTGGTAAAGTAGGTCTACCATATACATATACAAACGAATGAGTGCGGTACAAACTTAGAGTTAATCGATTCAAATCAGACGGACTATTTTAGTCTGCTTTTGAAATATCAATTTTGGTTGTGCACTATTTCGTATTTCTACGCTTGAATAAAGATGCATTGAATTCGAACTAAACTTTCTTCTACAGAGTATAATTCATTGTTTTATTTGAGGCTACATTGTATTTCCAGTTATTGTTCCTTCTTAGAAAAAAAGCCATTTGACGTAAGTTTACGTCGCGGTTTTTCCCCTTAGAATCATATGTGTGTACTGTATTGAACTTTATCAAAATCACTTATTTGCATTTTCATACACTCACCGTTCTGGTCCGACGGATCCAATAGGAATATTCATAAAATTCTGATTGGGTATTTAAATCGTTGCTATACAGGAACAGCCTAAAGTGAGTGCGCTTATTCATCTTAAAAAGTGTGAACAAGAAATAATCTTATGCATTCGTTCACACGTTTCTAAATAGTCGCAGAGTGCTTTCGGCTAACGTTCTTTATTGCCATTGCTGGACCTGTAATTTCAGGGTTGGGCGGTGGCCTACCCGCGGTGGCTGGTGCAGGTGTTGGGGGAGGTGGCGGAATGCGCGGAGAACACCGGGAGCGCAAGTCGAGTCGCGGCTCCAAGGTGACGAGCGGCCGGGCGGCCCTCGACGAAGATCGAATAGCAGACAGGATAGTGGTAGACCGAGTTGACCGAATTGACAGGACGGACCGCGAAAGAGATCGCGGGGCCCACCTAGCCAACGCTAACCTCAGTGCCATGGCGGCGCAACAGATCAACAGCCCCGGAGTCCCGCACTTAATTACCCCGCCCCAACAACAACAGCAGGCGCAATCCCAACATCCGCACCAACAGCATAGGATACCATCTGAACAGCATCGTAGGTAAGTGCCAGTGCCTACCAATAGCGCTGCCATGACCACCATCACCCGGCTCGTTTGGTGACATCAACATTCGGACCCTTTAATCACCCACATTTTTTTGTCATCCCTGACGCATTTTTCTAGTACCGCCCGAGACAGATCCCGTGAGCGTAACAGTCTAATGAACGCATGTATAAGTGGAGGATAAGACGTCTAAGCTGATTTCGGTAAAAGTTGAGGCGTAAAAGACTGTTTGGCATTATCTGTATATTATATATATAATGACAAACAATTAAGTTGTTTCGTAATAGGAGAATATTGAATGGTAAGTAAGCAGGAGTTAATCTGGCTAAGGCTCGGCCCTCTTTTTGGTAAATGTCTATTTAAGAATGACAAGGAAGATCGTCACACATGTCGAAAGAAAGATTCAAATGTATTAATACATATTTAATTTCAGCAAAACTAGTACTTATCCAGTGTCCTGTCAAATGTGTATTTATACAACATTAGAATTGCCATTTGCAGCAATATATTTGCTTGCACCATCTAAAACAAAGGACTGGTAACAGTTTCGTGCAGAAGTTATATTATGGGCATATTCGAAACGAAAATATGTGATTTGTTGGCATCTTGCTAGGTTTTTTTTTGTAATGTTTACTTGTAGAAATTCAGAAGCTTGCTATTGAGAAGTTTAATATCAATGTTTTGGCTCCATCGGAAACCCACTGCGAGCATTGGGCAGCACTCGAGCTGTCGTGACATACTAATGGTCAAATGTTTCTTAATGTATTTCAAACTGCAATCAATGAAAAGCGATGGTTTTCACTCTCTCAAGTTGAATGACTTCAGCATCCTAGTGAGGTAATTCGATCGCGGCCTTATCCCAGTGACGACATGCTTCTTCTATATAGAATGCTAATGTTGCTGCCTATCCGTGTCATTTTGTAGATCTGTGATCTGCTTTCTGTTTATCATAATGATAACTTGAGAGATATTACTGCTACTTTGCTGATATGATATATATATATATATATATATATATATATATATATATATATCATTTTTGCTCTATCATTATGTATGTATTAGAAATATTCAGACACACTATATTGTTAAATATTCAATTTTCCCCCGAAATGCGTACATTAGCTCAAGGGGTGCACACTTATTCACTCAACCGATGAATACGAGACTTGATGATAATTCAGTGAATAATGCCTAGCTTCTATAATATCAATCCGCGCAGAATAAATTCCTTTACGTTAAGCTACATAGTCAAATAATATGGTTAAATATTTTTTATAGTTTATATTGTGCAATTACACTCGTGTGCACATTTCCGTTATCCAACGGAGAACTATGCATATTTGCATCGTACAATTATCCACACAGGCCTATTTGGCCGTAATTTCGCGATGTGCCAAGGTCTTACTATTCGTGGCGTGGTAACGTTTAACGCTAGTTATTCTCCAGGAAAGCGCTCTCGTTGCGGTCATCTGGGGATGACACTGTGTTGCAAACAAGGCGAAGTGGGATATAGCAGGGTGAAACATTAAGCAGCTATAATCGTTCATTATTTCCTCGCTGGTGGCAGCGTCGACGAGAGCTGAGCGCGGCCGGTGGCCAGACAGCGGAGTAGATGCGTGTAAGTGACGATGCGCCATCTAACGTTCTCAAATACTTTTTCACGGTCACTCTCGTCTTCACGTTAAAATCACTAAGTTGCCGATTTTTTAAAAGGAAGTTGTGTGCCGACGACAGTTCAAACGGGAGATGAGCTCGAGTTTCCGGGATGATAGAGTTGATTCTTCACGCAGCTTTAGGACAAAAATTCGGGTGACTAAAGGTGCCTTACATCGATACCGAATGATCGAGTACGCCTCCCACTAACAACAAGGGAGAACCTAAGGGCCTTGATAGAATTCTGCGAATAGAAAAAAGTGTAGGATACAGATGGGCGAAGAGATAATGCTACGGCGGACATTACTTGTTGAAAGTTTATCTTACAGAAATGTTGTAATGTACGTAATGGTTTTCCACTAATAGGGTGATATGATGCAGAGAGCGGAGCCACATCCAGTTTGTACCACTGCAACGGTGCATCTCGTGGCCCGCTCGTGTCATTTCATAGAGGTATTTTTCATCTAATGCAACCTGTACGTTTAAACACTGTTATCTTAATAGCGTTAGCGTCTTAAACAAATCCTCTTCCTTCATATTTAGACTCAATTTACAGGTTAAAAGATGTTCATATTTCGATTTCGTACAGCGGCTAACTAGAATTCATCGGACCAGGATGAAGCCATATGATAACGCCAATGGCTTCGAGCAGTATAAATCTAAAAACAGCCCGAAATGTATTAGCAACTGCTGTGTTTGATTGTTCAAATGAAGAACTTTTCTGATCTGCTTTTGTTTTTCCTCGCATGGCAGATCCTTATAATCATGTATGATTGAATTGTATCCACGTCCCATTGTGTAGTAGAATTTAAGCTTTGCGTTGATAAAAAAAAAGGTTCTAGTTTAGCTCCTTATGACAACATGTCGGTGAAGAATAACACATTTGAAAGTAAGCTCGGTAGTGGAGGAATAAGTGCCTACCTTCTGACGTTGGACTCACCTAAGGCAAAATATAGCTATTGTTTGCGGGGCAGCGTTTGGTGATAACGTTTGCTTGGCAGGATTCTTATAAAGGGCTTTGTCGGTATAGAAGAATCACTAAGTGGCTTAAAAATTGCTGCAAAAAAATGGTCTCAGTTTGTACAAACTATCAGGGAAGTATGATATGATACAGATAGATTTACTTCTGCAGCAGTCATATTTGAAAGCGGTAATGCAACTGTAGTATGCTGCACAAAATATTTTTATTGCAAGCCATTATAATAATAAAATTGACTAAAAAATAATTTGATTTTGGCCTAAAGTAGGTAGAAGGTCGACTTAACTGCATTGATCAGTGTATCGTTCGGTCAGTACAACGGTGCGCGTTCCCACACCATCAACACCTCTCATTCCAGCCTTTCTATCCTCCTGGATTCCACCTCTGTCTCTGCCATGGATCCGGTTGATCCTTTCACCGAATCCAAATTTCATATCTATTCTATTAGTGTGCTATAACGAAGGAAGACTGAGTTGTATACCTTAATGAATCTCGTTTCATATGCTGTTGGATGATATCCGATTCACCGCTGGACATAAATTAAACATCTTCATCAGATCAACCTCTAGCCTGTTCGCAAGCAGAACACGGTGCATCGTGACACATCTTTTGGCTAACAGCGTTTCAACCAAGATATCGTCTGCAGATTTGACAGGCCATCAAAATAGATGTTCATTTGATAATTGGGTAAAGAGGCATTCGAAGAAAGGAAACAGGCCTACATGCTACTTCCGTTCTTAAGGCATAGATGTTAACGTTAACGCGGAGAAAGAAGGATTGCACAAAAGTGTCAATCATCCAATCCAGATGATAGTTCACCCCACAGAGTACTATAGCTTGATCGACTTTTGTTCTGATCGTAATCTGTCAAGGCTGATTAAGCTTTATTCTAAAAGCACTTTCCAACGTTAGATAATGGTTAAACATGTGATAGAAGATCATCAAGTATGATAATCATGCTTGTATCAAAATCAAGTAACTAAGTCGTTTTTAGCAAATTAAGAGGTATTTGTTCATACAAGTTTTCTAAGAAAAAGTGCTTAGAGTTAGGTTACCACATCAGGATCATATCGGCGTTTTCCACATACTGAGGTTTTGGTCCATCTAACATATCCAGCACAAATATTAGCCAACAGTCTAAATAATAAATACAGTGTATAAGTATATATAATTTTTAGTAGTATTTATTTCCACTAATTTGTTTCAGAAACCATCGGAGTCACCGTAGTCGGGAACGCGAGCGTGACATAGGAAGCGGCCATATGAGCGATCGCGGTGAACGTGATCGGGACCGAGGAGGCGATCGAGGAGTTATCCCTGATCACCACCGGGGCGGAGAACGTGGACTTGATCACCGGGGCATCGACCGCGAAGGAATCGATCAGCATCCGAGCGAATGGAATAGGGGGGATAGGGACAAAACTAGAGACAGCCAAAATACGGCTCCTTCACAGAGCTTACAACGTCGAGGTCAATCAAAAGGTAAACTGGAGAGAACGATATGGAAGGAGAAACTGCATGAATAATAAGTAACGTAAGGTCAATAATCTTAAGCACCAGTATCATAGGTGCTTGATTTGTTCTCGATAGGCATACATGCAGATTCGTTCGCATACATCTGCGTATGCATGCATGTATTCTATGGATGAAGATTCTATCAGGTGTTTCTAGCTCATTCGATAAAGTGCTAAAGCTTCATAGATCTTATTGCTTTCGTACGTTCTCTTGATGTATTAAAACAGCGAGGAGCATTCCGCAGGTTGTGATAACACGAATGTTGTTCTCCACTTACAGAATATATTTTACATGTATTCGTGATACCAAATTTATACAGAGAAAGAAGTGCTATTATTCGGTCTTTAGTATTTTCATCAAATAAAGGTCATCATACCACTCAATTGCTGTTTACCACATCGAGCTAACATCATGATCCAACTGCATTGGGTTGGTTTGCATTGCAGGTGGTACTCCGCCTGACGTCGTAAATTCTGTAGTGCCGTTAGACAAACCTCGAAAGACGAGAAATTTTGTGTTTGAATCTTCCAAGGTAAGCAGCATAACAACTGAGAGACCACCGTTCACTAATTATGAAGTCCTTGGAAGAGAAAAGAGAAAGTGTTGCCATACGCCAACGATGCGGAGGAACTCATATGGAGACTTCGCACTTAGAAGCGTGTGCAGTTCATGTCTGTAGCAATGTCCGAAGGCGTGAGAGCCGTCTATGAGGCACTTTCAGCCGTCTATCGTCGATTATGAAAGAAACAGTAAATATTTAAAATCGACCCTAAATCCACTTCCATTTCATTCCAGAACCTAGGCTTCTGAAACCATGCTCAACAGCGGTACTACAATTCATGTTAGTACTAATGGTTAGACTGTTAACTTGAAAAAGGAGACGACTATTTCACGAGGCGTTGAAATACGGCTGTTTCGGAACTGCACTTCTATTGTCAAATAGATCTTTGCCTTTAGATACAGCGAGAAAATGAAAACGACTACTGCCGATTGTCACACGTTGTCTATTTGTTTCTGCTTGTGCTGTGCATTGAACTTAGGAGCGCATACGTGTAAAGATCCTCGAGTTAATAGATGCTAACTATGGCCTCTATGTATGGCCCTGTGCGCCCGTATTGGCGCAGTATATCTGGTTTTACCGAGATCACGTAAAGGTAAGACTTTATGTGAATATCTGTACCGTATTGGAAGAAATGCATGGACATAGTTATAGGAGTTATTGTACCGACGCGCAAAATGACACCGACTTGCAGATGATGGCTGACGTCTGTGTTCTCTGGTGACTCATCGATTTCAGAACAAACGGGTGTTGGAGCTGGGCGCCGGAACGGGCTTACCGGGAATTCTAGCTGCTTTGTTGGGAGCTCGTGTAACGTTATCCGACTCTGCCAATTACCCCCTGAACATCAGGCACTGCCAGCAAAATGTCGAAGAAAACGGCCTATCGACCACAGAGGTATCTCTATCACCACTACTCTAATTTTCTCTCATTCTGATTTATATACCAGTGATACATACATATATCATATGCATTGAGGAGTTTTTTCTAACTGTGAAGGTCTCCATAGGCACATTTTTGTTTTGATGCCATTGTGCACCGTTCACACAGAAAATTACTTCTCAAAAACTGGAAAATAGAAGAAAGAATTACTGCTGCGTATTGTGTTTAAAGCTGTTATTTTTCGATTAGGTGGATTTTGTTGACTGTGATGTTGCAAATATTTCTCTTAGCCTTTTTTGCAATGCCCACCTTCTACTCCGCAATCCCGGGACAGCAACAGAACGTACTTACGGTTGTCAATTGATTCAGGTACCGGTACTGGGTGTTACGTGGGGTGCATTTTCTCCGTCTCTCTTTGAGCTTGGCCCAGTAGATCTAATATTGGGCAGTGATATACTCTACGACACAAAGGACTTTGAGAACGTAATCGTCACGGCTAGCTACCTCCTTCACCAGAACCAGCACGCCAGATTTTGGTCAACTTACCAGATCAGAAAGTTAGTGTCCTTTCATTTCTTTGATGGAATATACAAGTACAACATTAGGCCATTCTGTACTGATCTAGAAATATTTTGTTTCTTCTATATTTTCTTTTCATATTCTTATAAAATCAAAATTAACGTTTTTGTATTTGATAAGAATTCGAATAGAAATTCCTTCAATTAATCATATAAAACAAATAGTCTAAGTTTAGGTACGAATTGCTTGGACAACTGTTCATTTGCCCGTCTCCCTATTCAAGACAAATGAAGTTGCGAGCTTCGGGTCCTTATAAAACCAACTAAGATATCCGAAGATGTTCTAACATAAAATCCTTCCTACATAAAGAATGAACATTTTTGTTGAACATTCCGGGCAAGATAGAAAAATTATTTTCGTAAATTACTTCCAGGTCTTATACCATGATAGTAATAATTATTATTATTCTTCATTGACTCGTATCGACAAATGCGCAAAATGGAAAATGCTATGGGGTGTACAATAAAAACATCTTATATAGCTGCCAACAAGCTCTCATGATGTGTAACCTGTGAATGCCGTCTAATGGAGTTTTTTTAACATTTGTTATACGTTTACTGACGGCCAATCTTGTCACCTGACGTGTGGACGAACGGCCTTATCCTTGCAATTCTTCAGCCCTGAATACAATTTGGAGAAGTTGTTGAAAAAGTGGAACTTAGTGTGCATGCGGGTGCCCCTGGATCATTTTGACGCAGACACCCCGTCGATAGGGGGCTCAAGCTTGCCTGGAGTACAGAATATCGAGATGCTTGTTATGACTGTCGATCCCACCCAAGAGGAGCCCAAACAGCCGAAGAAAGACGCCATCAGGTTAGTAAGCACTAATGTTAAATTGTAACCACGATTAGTATATTTTGTTAGCAGCATTCTCGAGCACACATAGGCTATTGTGAAGTCAGCAAATAACTAGGACCACCACTGATAGAAATCATTATCCAAAGTAGCTTATATTAATTCACGTATCAGATGAACTGCTCATGAAACTTCTCACTGCACAGTAGCAGATCAATATAATGAATGTAATACGCCTTGCCACTTGATGTATTAAGCATATAATTGGACAATTTTTACCAGTCTTCTAAAGTGCGAACTATTAGATGTATCTTTGTTTAATTACTCGTTTTCGTCAGAAAAATTACCCTCTATGATGCACTGATAGCGTTAGATAAGACACGCGATCTGAAATAAAACCGTACAAAATTTATAATAACAAATACAAAAAGTATTTTCTCTATTCATCCACATGGCTCACGACTCGTCTCGTTTACGAACCTGTCGTCACAAATCAGCTGCGATGCGATAAAATATAGTGGTACATATTGTATATGGAAATATAAAACATTTGCAGCTAAATTCGTTAGTTATGTCACTATATGTCATGTATAGTGTATATATATTTAGATATATTTGTACATGACCTCATGGAGGAGCTACAAGGTATGCGCGTCGTATAAAAACGACACTAATTTTTTTCTAGTCTTCCTAATTTGTTCACGCACATGTTTGCCCTGCTTTTATTTGGGTGACCGTTTGCGTTCCCCACAAACAGAAATACTGAAATCTTTATATGCTATTTGTAGTTCACCTGGACATAAGCAATTGGGTCTTGATGAACTACAACATTATTGAATGAGCTTCGCTGTCGAAGCTCATTCTCGGATATGTTTTTTGAGTTCTTGTATTGCACTATAATACCTTAACGATGCATAAATAATGGAATGTATCCTTTTTTGTAAAAATTTAATACCAATAGACGTACTGTATAATGAAGCCATGACTCTTACGTCGCATAGGATGTATACACTCCACCAATCGCGTTGTATCACTTCAAACAAATGTACTCGCTGTGATTCGTACGATGTCATAATTGCCTACAGGATTAGCGTTCTTAGCAAATATTGAATACCTATTGGTTTTTGTTTTTTCTTATTAGGTATTAATATCCGAGGCGCTGCCGTCTTGGCCGCGCCAATATTCAAAGAGGCAGCGTTCATAAATCTCGTCACAGTAGAGCCATCGATATTCATGCCTCCGATAGTGGACCGATAGGTAGTTTTCGGGGTTACTTCTATTCATTCTTGCATTCCACGGCTAGTCCTCTAATTTGGCAAGGCTGCATAATAGCCCACTTTTGTATCTTCGGCTTTTCTTTGTTGCAAGTAACAGAATCGCTCTTCTCCGAAAAATGTTCTCCTGGGAGAAGGAGCTGCAATCAGCCCATGACGTACTTGCACCAGATACCTTGAATTCTGACGTAATATCTGTTATAATAATTGCTACTGAGTGGAAATTGTGCAGTGTGTGCGATAATTTTAGCTGGACCTGAACGCACAATAGTGCTTCGCCTTAAAACGAGAGACGTTACTGGCTCACTAGCCTGTTTGTAATTTTGAACGCTTAAGATGCAGGTGGAAAATTTGCGCATGGTGCGTGTCTCTAGAGACAAAGAAAATTATGTCATATTTGTATTATAATTCATCATATATTTTCACTATATCGAATAGACGACTTGTAATGTAGAGCGACGAAATCATTTGAAGCTTTGCCGCAACTAATTTGTCTTGTTAAGGCAGGACAAGAAAATGAGTTTTTCTTTTAATTGTATTATGCTTATTAGAAGCAAAAAAATTTTCTCTACGCCATATTATTTCAAAATTTCCAAGAATAATTTCTAGCATAGCCTCTGTTCCTTCTTCCTGCTTCATTTTCTCTAAGATTGTTTTGCTCTGCGGGACCTTATGAAAGTATTGGCATTCTCTCTATGAGCCATGAGCTTTTCAAAGATTAGTAACGGACTATTTGATCTATGCTCATGGAAATGTCATATTCCATTTTCTCAAACTGTATACTCGTTAAAGGGAAATCCGTTTAGCTATGAGTTTATTTTCGAGTAGAACCTAGTGCCGTTCGAGCCATAGGTGTGGGAAGTATTCGTTATTGCTTCTTTGTGTATGATCCCTACACGTTGTCATGTGTTGTCTTATTAGTACTAGATGTGTGTTGATTTTGGATGCTTAAGGTAGTATGTTCTTGTTAGGTGTTTGTTTTTTTGTTGCCTTTTACTGTAATCATTGCTATGACGTTTAAATAACTGCTCTGGTTCGAATACTTCGCTAGAACGATATCACGCACGCACATACATATCAAATTCGTGCACGTGCTGGGGTTACGCCCGCACGCCACAATGCTACGTACTGCTGAATCGCGTAACATAACGCAACGTCACGCGTCGCGCACTCCATTTAATTGATGGTTATATGGCTGTGTCTGTGTGTGAACACATCCGCCGGTTGGTATTGAGTTGATCTCTTGGTTGGGTGCTTATTCTCTCCTTGTTTGCGCGTGCGTGCCGTGTCTACGTTACACATCTTGTCTTAGCGTGACGCTTTTGAATTCGTGCTCCGTGTGTCTTGCGCGTGTGTCGCTTGCTTTTGGTTTTGACCGCGCCGAATTACCAGAAAACCCTACAATAACTGCCACCCAAAACGATCGAAATAAATTGAAATCAACTGATTATACATTTGGTTGACCACTCAACTATCAAATATAGGGAGTGAACAAAGGTGAATTCTTACAGGTGGTCGTGATGACGGGAGCTGCTTTTAGCGGCTAGACGACACTCCACCAGTTCGCGAGGAACACGGCGTTGTCGCTTGCGAGCGATAGCTGAACACCACCGTGAAAAATGCGTACCTCATCGGCGGCGTCCATTGTCGAGTACGTTGAAAAATAAGACAAATTTAAAAACGTCTACTGCTACGGCTGCTACTATAAACTGCGACAGCAAAAACCACTACGCCTATGGCATACAGTGCGATAGCAGTTAATGTAGCGTCTGCCTAGTAACTGTAGTAACAATAATAATAAGCTAACACTTCACTAAAGTCTGAGTCAATAAACAAGAAAGGCAGACACACATAGAAAGAGACAAATAAGTATTTGTACAGTAATGAAATGTAGAATATACATAGATAAAATACCGATTACAATGGTACACCTGTGCATGATATGGCCGGATAGAACTGATACGAACTGAAGGACGAAAACAGCATTAAAAACAGAAACAGCCTTCCATACTGTAACCTCTATATTTGTCGGCCAGATACGACGTTATGACGTTCACATATAATTGACGGGTCATATGATATGTTAACTGAATTGTAATATATCGATATGGACATTGATGATTTGTATGAACTTACTGTATCCCGTCACACCGGGATTTGAGCGACAAATTGACAACTAGAATATTCGATTCAAAAAATAAGAGAGAAACAAAAAAAGAATAGCGGTTCAGACCAGTTCCTCTTTGTAGAAGAAGCAGCTCAAGTCACGGCAGCTCGCACAGTTGCGCTAACCAACCCACGAACTGCGTAGCCTGTTATATATATATATATATATATATATATATATATATATATATTAAATGTGTTTATGTCACATGTGTACATAGCGATACGTGCATGCCGAGCAGATCGACAACATCGGAGCGCTAATCTATCCATTGTCGAATAATGGAATAGACATGAACAAGGATCTGGACCGAAGTGGGAAGTACAGAAACATAACTATATCTGTTAAGGCTGTCAAGAGAAATAAAAAGTTTAATTTAGTTCAGAGCTCCGGGCCTCTGGCATGAGGGTGGCGGCAGCACCGGCCATGATACAATATTCGCTGATGACGACAAAGCGGATTGGGAGACGATAAGGACAAGTACGTAGCGGAAAGATATAACAAATTGGACCGAAGAATATAACATGATTTTCTCCGTTGCAGCAGAGTTCAATGGTAATGAATAAATAAATAAATATATATATATATATATATATATATAGGAAGATATGACGCTGAATGAGTGTTCTAAACGCGCGTGGCATGATTGCTTTGTGTGTGTATATAAACTAAATAGAAAACGGTTACGAAGGGAAAAAGGAGGAAGCGGTACACGCTAATTCCAAGAATAATGATTATACGTCAGCTATGATTATAGAAATCATTACGATCATGATGGTGATAATGAAATGTGCTAACTTGTCCAAGCAGTTCCAGCGGAATAACCGAAGAAAGTAACCGAAGAAAACAAGACTGCTTGACTAAAAAAAATAATAAAATGGCCAAGGGAGAGTAGCAAGCAAGTCTCAAAGTGCGGAAATATCAGCTCTGACAATACCGACGACGGCTATTTCTGATGCCAAGATTCGCAGTAGAAACAAGATGAAATTAAGATGCCCGAGCCAAATATCCTCCTATATGGCCAGGCTGCATTATGTACACGTATGTAAAAATAATACAAGAAAATATGATAGCAGAAATATGTGGAAGAACGGTACGCGGAACCGGAAGCCATACGTACGTCATATA